TAGGCCTCAAGCTTAACTCATAAGTAAGGCACTCACCCTGAGAGTAGCCTGAACTCACCAGAACAGGAATATTTTATATCTGCAATCAATCCAAATATTTTTAGGGGATCCAAGTAATATTAGGCTCCTGGGAGAGCCCTTCTCATCACATCAGACTGGTCTCTTCTCTGACTGTTTTTAAATCTTTTGTCAAAACCCACCTTTTCTCTTTGGCTTTTAACATCTAGCAAGATAGTGGGCTTTATTTTATTAAAAAAAATATATATTTTTTATCTGTTATTCCTTTGATCTTTTACCCAATTGTATTGATCTTATTGTTTTAATGTATTTTTACCCATGCTTTAGTTGTTTTATGTATCTGTACTTTTTATTTTTAATTTGTTGATAGATTTGTTATTTATTTATTTATTTATTTATTTTTTCTGTACAGCACTTTGACCAGCTGTGGTTGTTTTTAAGCGCTTAACAAATAAAATGGGATTGGATATGTTCCCTTTTCCCCCAGTGGCATTTATCTGACATGAAAAGGACTACAAAACTATATGTAAAAGCATTTAAAGGGCCTTAAGATGTATTTTTATCCCTTCAGATTTTTAGTTAGGCATGCGGTGCATAATGGGGAAAAAAATTAATACATTTTCCAACCATCAACAACAAAGAAAAAGAAAAAAAATATATAATCTATACATCTTCTTCACTTTCTACATTCTTCAGAAACATCTGACCCTCTGGTCATTCATCATATACTGCGCAATTCACAGAAAGCCCTGAATGTCCTCACTGAGAGGCAGCTGACTCATGAACAATTGCTTTGGCTGTTGATGATTCCTGAAAGGGAAAAAAGTCAAATATCTTCATATCACTGCTGCTGTTTCACATGACTCTCAAGACTGCAACCATTGTTAACCAGGTTGTTTTTTCTTTAGATTTATTTATTTTGAAACAAATCTGCTGCTAAGTGAGATGAAGGAGATAAAGTGCGTTTGTTGACAGTCACAGCCACAAGAGGGCGCCATACAATAATGTGTTTCTATAGGGCTTCTTAGCCTGTTTCTCCATCCAGCTATTAAGAAATATTTAGCACTGGTTCAATTTGTTTTTTATGGATCCACATTTAAGAAATCTACACAACAACACATTTTTACTAGTTATATTTCTACAATAATTTTAAACACCAGGAAAACTATAAAGAGGTTTATTTTCAGTGACAAATGTAACTTTATTTACATACATATATTAGAGCTGAGATGAGTCATTAAAAGGTCAGTATAGCCGCTTTGTAGCTTGAGGACACAGATTGCTCTGAATAATGAGCCTAATAGCTCAGTTTCGACACATTGTTTAATAGATATTAGTCTAAACTAACAGAATCCTGTTTTGCAGAAAGTTTCATTAAACATTTATATTTTAGAGTTTTGTATAACAAAATATACACAAAAATAATAGCCCCCCTACAATCCTTAAGAACAAAGAGTGGCTGTTTGATTTGCATCTGCCTTGAAATGTGAGCAGTAGGAGGAATCTCCTTGCTGCTTCAATACATCAGCATTCCAACCAGAGATTTCTCTGGTGCAAGCCAACAGAATTGATAAACACTCCTTAATACATGGGTGTCGAAAAGTCTTAAAAAAAAAAATAGATGCTGTAAACTTAAAATAACCTCAATACGCCAAATTTCCCAACAATTTAGACATTGTCTCTATAGATGAGGTTCTGTGATTGGTTTTAATAGAATAGAATATCCTGTTAAACACATATTCTTTTTTGAACTGTGTTAAATTTAAGTTTCAAAGTCTCCTAATACTCCCCCCTCCCTCCACCCCCCACCCCACCCAAAAACATAAAAAGAAGATAAGACTTAATCACAGTTAAATATGGACATTAAAACCACCTTAGGGGCAGTGTGAAAAATAATGGCCACTTTTTTGGCCCACTACAGTAGCTGAGATAATTGTAATGAAACTGACTGCATTGTGTAAAGACATGTTAGATAACAGAAAAAATGTCTATACTTTGTTCCTCAATGCCAACCCTACCAGCGAAAGCACTTTAAATGACTCTTTTCTTTCTTTTAAACTGTGCCTGAAAATGGTTCTGTTATATGTTTACAAAGAGTGTTTTAAATGGTACCACTGGTGGTATTTAAAATGCTTTTATTGGTACTCAGAAGATACCTGTTTTAATTTATTAGCTACTTACAAATAGTTGTGCTGTGGAGCTAATATCTTAAACAATTTAAAATGGTTATTCGGACATGGCAACCTATCATTTATCAGAAACTTCCTGAAACAGAAAAAAGGGAATTTTTTTTTATAAAGCTCCAATAACCATAATCACAGTAAATCAAAAGCAAGATGGGAATATATTCTGTGTTTAACCTACTGTATATACTTCCATGGTTAGAAGTCAGAGTACTATTGTAGTGGGAAAGAAGTATTTAACTATTCACCCTAGTTAAGTAAACAGAGATCGATGGATTTCACTCAGTCGGCATATTTAATCATTTCTTTTCAAAGAGAGAAAAGTTCACCATACAGCCCTTACGGCACAGTATTCAGCCCTGTTCTGATCTGGGAAGCGTTCGTTCCCCCTTACTTACAACAATGGAAAAGCAAAGCAAAGTCAGAATCAAAATAAATAACTTTGGTTAACGGTAACATGTTATAAATAAACCTTGAGAAAGAATCTGATTTGTTATGGGAAGAAGCTATGTCTGGTCTACAAACAGAGAATTGTCTCACACAGAGAATTGTGTGGCCTTGCAGGTGAAACAGACTGAGTAAAAACTTTTATAGTGAGTAAATAGCGTAATTTAATATATGAAATAAGAGAAATATAAATTATCCAACTTAACCATGTCCCAGTTCCAAGTTTAAGAGTGAGAGGAATTTGCTAACCGATGCGGTAAGTGACAGTGCTAAATATTATTTAGAAGACAAGCTTAGAATTATGCACAAACGTTTTTACTTTCAAAAAAAACAACTTCAGTGTTGTACCTTGAGTAAAACTGAAAAAAAAAAAAATTCATGTTAAACTCTTTTTTTTTTTTACACTGATGGATAACAACAGTTGATAAGATGAACCCCCCTAAAAGTCTTTCCTTCCTTGAGAGTATACAAGGCATTATTATATTGTGGATGCAAGGATAGGATAACAGATACTGAAAGAAATTCCTCTTTCTCTATATATTCCTATTATTGTTATATGAATTCCCCTTTTATCGCCAAGCCATTAAAGAGCACTTATGTCCAGCTGTGTAACATCTTTATCTCTATGTTTTACATTCATCAGATATCATATAAAGCGCAGAATTGACCTGAAGCAATGTCCTTACTGTGAAGCAGCTGATTCGAATAATTGCTTTAGGTCTGGGCAGTACTCAGAAACCACGGCTTCTGTTTCACATGACTCTTAACACCCAAGACTATAACCATTGTCAAACAGACCTTTTCTCTTTGCATTTTTGGATAGATCTGCAAGCAAATGTTAAGTGGCAATACAGTCAAAGACAGGCTGTGTTTGGCCACTAGAGGGCGGTGTGTATCTATTTGCACACTAATTGCTTCTTGGTAAATTCCAGCTGTTCTGTTCCCTGTTGATCAAAAAAAGCTCCACTTTGAAAGTTCTTTCATATGTGAGCAAAATATACACTTATATCCCACATCTACAACCCCTTTTTGTTTATTTTATGTTTGTAAAATTAGCATTAAAGATTCTGGCCTTCGGTGTATAGCCTACTGATAATTAAAATAAAGCCATATCTGTAAATACCAATAGGATTTTTCTGAAAATTGTTATCCCTGTGTTTATATGAAACACTGCTGCAGGTACAAGCTTACTATCTTGCATACGTAAACTCTATAGTAAACCCGAAGCGTTAAATAAATATATACTGATTAAATAAACTACAATTCATAATATATCCCCAGGTAACCTTCAATTGATGGCAAGAAAAAAATATTATTTCCAAGTGATTTTTTGGAAATGTTTATTTCATTTTCTTGAAAGGTACACAAATTATAACATTAAAATTAAATAAAAAAAAAGTTAAAAAGGTATATAGATGCATCTTTATCTCTATGTTTTACATTCATCAGATATCATATAAAGGGCAGAATTGATCTGAAGGAATGTCCTTACTGTGAAGCAGCTGATTCGAATCATTGCTCTAGGTCTGGGCAGTTCTCAGAAACCACGGCTTCTGTTTCACATGACTCTTAACACCCAAGACTATAACCATTGTCAAACAGACCTTTTCTCTTTGCATTTTTGGATAGATCTGCAAGAAAATGTTAAGTGGCAATACAGTCAAAGACAGGCTGTGTTTGGCCACTAGAGGGCGGTGTGTATCTATTTGCACACTAATTGCTTCTTGGTAAATTCCAGCTGTTCTGTTCCCTGTTGATCAAAAAAAGCTCCACTTTGAAAGTTCTTTCATATGTGAGCAAAACATACTCTTATATCCCACATCTACAAACCCTTTTTGTTTATTTTATGTTTGTAAAATTAGCATTAAAGATTCTGGCCATCGGTGTATAGCTTACTGATAATCAAAATAAAGCCATATCTGTAAATACCAATAGGATTTGTTATCTCTGTGTTTAAATGAAACACTGCTGCAGTTACAAGCTTACTATCTTGCATACGTAAACTCTATAGCAAACCTGAAACGTTAAATAAATATATACTGATTAAATAAACTACAATTCATAATATATCCCCAGGTAACCTTCAATTGATGGCAAGAAAAAAAAGATTATTTCCAAGTGATTTTTTGGGAATGTTTATTTCATTTTCTTGAAAGGTACACAAATTATAACATTAAAATTAAATAAAAAAAAAGTTAAAAAGGTATATGGATGCATGTTTGGTGCAACAAGCTCCCAACCCAATAACCATTGCCAATTCTTCACTCTTCTATCTGTTTGGGATAGAGGCGGAGGAGGAGGTGGAGGAGGGAGGAGAGCAGTGGTAGAGAAGAAGGAGGGGGTTGTCTTGTGCGTCAGTAAGTCAAACATTTTCCAATAACGGGCTGTATTATCTGCTGCTATTTGCAGTTTGCTGTAGCCAGGCACCAGACTGAGCTGGAATAAAAAAGCTGCACCAGCTTCCCTTTATTTCTCCTCTGTGATGGAAACAATCTCAACTGGACTCAAATCTGCAAGGCAAAAGGTAAATAGATTTACATAGTTTTTGGCTAAGATAAGGTAGCTTGTCCTGAGTTTAGTTTTTCTATACCAAACCTATGTTTATCTTTTCCCCCAGGAGGAGTCAGACTGTTGCCTGTGGCTCTGCTCTCTCCATGCAAAACACAGGAGATTCATCTGAACCTCCAATCTAAAAGACAGAGGATGAAGGCAGGTGTAAGGAACAGCACATGGACAGTAGAAAAGGTATACCTGAAGTTGTTTGGAGTCATCCTCTTGCTTGGATCAGATGTGAGCTGGCTGAGCTTGAAAGAACAGGCTGTGGTCAGTGCTCAGAATAATGAGAGAAGGGTTTTGGCTCACATCCCAGGTGACATTATCATTGGAGCTCTGTTCTCTGTCCACCACCAACCACCTGCAGACAAGGTACCTGCTGTTTGAGTTTATGTCCTTGTCTATCCTGCATCTACGTGATAAAGGTTAACAATCCACTTGTTGGTGCACTTTGTTCAGGTGCATGAGCGAAAGTGCGGTGCTGTACGTGAGCAGTATGGAATCCAGAGAGTGGAGGCCATGATGCACACTCTGGACAGGATTAATGCAGATCCCAATATCCTCCCCAATATATCCTTGGGCTGCGAAATAAGGTCAGCAACCAACAGCAAAAACTACTCTACTTATTTTCTGAATAGTGAATAAATAACTTGAATCGTATCGAAAATGTTTCTAACAAACAGCAAAAGGCCTATTGTTTTACCCTGAAGAAAATGATTGACATAAACAATAAAATATGTTAAACTAACACATGAAGGCTTGCAACAAACTTTTGCCATTTCATTTTTTTTAAAACAACAAATGCCTTCAAACGGTAATAAAATATTTATCAAACTAGTTTTCAATCGCGCTAGTCAGTTATGACCTGCCTTCAAACGGTAATAAAATATTTATCAAACTAGTTTTCAATCGCGCTAGTCAGTTATGACCGTTAAAACAAACAAACAAAAATAAATAATGTTGATTAAGTATTAATTGTCTTAAATTAACTACATTCTTATTCAGTTTCAAGTGTTTGAAGGAAGTTTTTAAGTGGAAATAAACATCTAATGATATAACCAAGAATCCCCCCGCCCCCAAAAAAATATATTATCAGTTGTTTTCACTATCTAGCAGCCTTACATATAAAAACAAATCTTTAAAAATAGGTTCACTATGCTGAAATCTCTACTAGAGATGCAAAAAAATGAAAAAGGGAGGAAACAAAGTTTCAAATAAATCCATGCTTAATTACCACAACAATGTCTCTTAAATAATGTCTCTTAAAATAAGTTTGAGTAGGATTGAGTAACTTTGTGAACGGTTCATTTATATCCCTGGTACCACATGAATTAGCACCCGTATTACTTCCTGTATGCATTTATTAAAACGTTTCTGTCAATTAGATTGTATTCCTACGTTATAACTATAACACGACACATGGGGCCACTGTTCAGACAAGTAAAGAAAATACCATTTAACTAGCGCAGATGTGGGATTTTAATAAATAAGGCTGCCTAACTACATGAAATTAGCTTTTTGCTTGAACTGGCCAATATTTACTTACAGAAAACAATTACTCATTCTTAAACAGCTTAAACTGTGATATGTAAAACTGCTTAAAGATAATTTTTATTTTGCCACCATGAGTAGGATGATAAGGGAGGAAAAAATATCTTCAAAGCTCAGGGTCACCAAGTTGCCATAACAACCATGTACAGTATTTTAGAGACATCTTTTCTTGAAGTGGCGATAAACATGATAGGTGGTATGAAAGGAATTAAGAAATGAATTTTAAATACTGAGGCTTTGATAAGAAGCTTAGATAAGTCAATGATCTGAATGATTTAAAATGGAAGAGAAGCAGGAATGGTAGATAATGTTCCATGATGACTTCTCTGAACTGGAAAGAGAAGAAAAGAGCAAAAGAGAAATCGTAGAGAAGAATGTTTTGGAAGAAATTATATGTGAATGACTGAAATATAATAAGCATTCTTTATTTTTTTTTCAGCAGTCATAAATGCCATGATCTTGGTGCTGATTACTGCCCTGATTACTCATTTCATTCACCTGCCTAGCTCTGCCCAGTTTTCAGTACTGTTCATCTGATCCACCTGCTTCAGGCTCTATTTAACCAGCCTTCAATCAGTCATCAGAGCCAGATTAGTTGAGCCTGTAGTGAGAGTTCTCCGTTCTCTGCGATGTTTGGTGAGCAGGTCCAGGTTTAAAGTATAACCATAATTCCAGAGATTTAGTAAAGCAATATAACTGCAAATTGACTTTTTAAGCGTGTTTCTATTGGGCACTGTGTGTTGTGATGAACGATTCTAAGAGGTTGTCCATGCAACCTTTTCTAGGACATTCAAATTTTAAAGTTGGGGGAATAATGAGGGTTTCTTTAAAGTTTAAAGTCCAAGAAGAGAAGTTAAATGTTTATCCACAGGCCTGACCTCAAAATCCAATCTGTCTGAATTGTGTTTAAAACTTTGTGATAAGTAAATTGATAATCATATTCCAAACTTGTGGAAATGTATATTTTCTAAAATATTACACATGTATTATATAAACCATTGTTTGTGAACATGTTGCCTTAGTGCACTGTATGCATGACCAAAAGGCAAAGGAAAGAAAGGTTTTATTCTGATATTGCTGTTGCTAAGTTAGTAGTTACCGAGAACATCACATCAGTTACTGGGAACATCACACAGCCCATATTACTGGTTTGTAGCTTCAACAGAATCGTGGTTAGCAATGTTTCTTATTGTTATTCTTCACTTTCAATTGTTTTTTATTAATAAAAATTTGGATTCCCTGAAATATTCTCCAAAGCACCTCTGTGGCTTAGTTCTAAATTATAAGTAGCATAGAAACAAATGTTGATTTAGTAGAGCCATTTGGTTTTTTGGTTTTTGTCTTTTGTAATTTTCTGCTTCAAATGGTCTAGGAAACAGTCCTTTGGTTTAAAAGCATTGTTTAAAACAGAAAACATGTCTTTGCTTAATGATGAAAACATTACTGAGTTACCTCTAAACATATGTTTTTTTTTTCTTTATCTCGACACATCTCAGAGTCAAATCTTAGCCAAATTCGTGCTTAAACTAACTTTTGAAAAACAATCTTTATGCATTCAGACTTTAAAAACTCAGTTTCACTTGGGAATCCTTATCAGATCATTGCCTTTGCTTTATTCTCTTTGCCAAAACATTGTGATGTGAGCTCAATCTGTGTACACCAGGGACTCCTGCTGGCACTCAGCGGTGGCACTGGAGCAGAGCATCGAGTTTATCCGGGACACACTAGTGTCCAGTGATGAGGAGGAGAGCCAGGCCAGATGCACAGCAGAGGCTGGGAACCTAATCTTGCAGGGAAAGAAGCCCATCGTTGGACTTATTGGACCGGGGTCCAGCTCTGTGGCTATCCAGGTGCAAAATCTCCTACAGCTCTTCAACATCCCGCAGATTGCATACTCAGCCACTAGCATGGATCTCAGTGACAAGGTAAAGTTGGCCAACAAACTGGAAGCTTCAAGAAGTAATGCTTAACTTTGAAACCTAAAGACCAGATTAACAAATTCATATTAAATCAGTACAGTATATTTTTTCAAACATGCTATTTCACAAGAATTGTTAACATGTAACCTTCCAATAGAGCCTTTATAAATACTTCATGAGAGTGGTACCATCAGATAAGCAACAGGCCAGAGCCATGGTGGACATTGTCAAAAGGTACAACTGGAGTTATGTGTCTGCAATACACACAGAAGGTAAGACTGCATGCATGTGAGCATTTGTTCATCTTCTACTACACACGGAATCAGATATATACTACTGTATACATCCTCTAGGAGAGTAGAGATCCCATCAAAAAGACAACATGTTTTGTGAAATGATTAATTTAATTAAATAGGCGAAACTTGTGTTTAGGCATATAAGGTGAATTAGAGTTTTTTTATTTTAGTTTATTTCATACTAAAGACTAATACTTGTCTTTAGTTTGAATACAATGACGAATTAGTATTGTATCCAGACAATCCTATTAGATCACAGTTTTAAGTCAGAAGAGTTTCCTGGCCGTCCAGCACAATAACACTATATGAACAATATAGCAAGTACTAGCATTCTATAAAGCGTTGGCAGGTGCTTAATTCTACTGGAAATTGTTATTTGAATGTATATATCAAGCAGGGGGTTGCATGAAGTGATCCAAAATATTTTGATGAAGAGCTCTGCCTTTGCTTTAGTGTTGCTGGAACACAGTAGACTAAGACCATCTGATGATGTAGCTTCCAAAATCATTTAAATACCACTTCAAATTTCTTGGATTCTACAGCTCTCCTGTTTACCTCCGGATTCTTGGAAAATGCTTAATAAATAGAATGCAAAAGTAACCAAGCGACAGTCCTTAGCATGTGTAAAATGCTTTGCTTATTTCTCAAAAAATACATGATCACTAACTGAAGAGTAGCTTAATACCGTACATGGAATGTTACAGCTGTAGTTTATATCCTGGATAAATCCATTTGTGGAGGATCTTAAAACAGCATTTACAGACAGTGGGCACAGAGTCTTTGGCTTGGGAATCGCTTCTAAAAATGAAGGCTGTATTTGTTATTATTGTAAAAATGTCTTCCACTCAAACTGTCACTGATATGCTTTGACTAAGTATTAAATACACAGAGATTTTCTCTAAGGGTTTCTTTTTGGTGACTTTCCTCCATTTGGAAGTTGCAGTTACTGGAGAAAGTTAGCAATCCATCAAATGATGTTTAATATTTCTAAAGTATAGCCATATTATTAAATTTTGAAGCCTATTTCTGTTATTTAATTAGATATTTAAATTCTCTGGGGAACTGCATTCACAAAAACAAACATAGAAAGGGTAAACCATATTAAAACTAGGTAGATCCTGTTTCACATAGCCAAAACTGACCTATTCTTTACCAAAAAAATGCTTTTTGTTAGGATCTTCACAATTTTAATTGGGTTAAATCTATTAATAGAATATCTATGTGTTTAGAAACATACTCAAAGGGACACATGGCATCCCGAAAAGCAGTTTCCATCCTTTGGAACTGTGCTGTACGGTAAGCCATCCCCCAAACCTGGCAGAACACAGGATAATCATGTAAGGATATGATTATTTTCATTGCGTTGGTCCTTTTGTGACTAATCCTATTAATTCAGAAACAAATGTGCTGCCAGTGGATAATTCTTGATATTTTCTTAAATGTGTTACCTATTTATCTTTCAGTGCATTCTCACTACTGATTTTTAATGCGTTTGAATACATTTTGAATTTAAACCGATGTTTATTTTTTTTTTACGTAGTAAATAACAATTTTAGAATTTCAGAGATGTTGGCTTTACTTTCTGGTGAAGTGGTGGCCTAGTGGTTAGGGCATAGAGTCAGGAATCCTGAGGTTCTGAGTTCAATCCCCCACCCCCACAGACCGAGCCCACACTGCTCCCCGGGCGCCGCACAATGGCAGCCCACTGCTCCCCAAGGGGATGGGTTGAATACAGAGAATTCATGCCCATGTTGCTCTGTACTTGTGACAGTGGAATGACCTAAAGTTGAATTCTATTCTACTTTCCAATGTTATTTACAGTTATACGACCTAATGTTGTCAGCAGCACTTATAAAGAAAAAAAAACAATTAAGAAATATGTTTTAAGCTTCCAGTCTGCAGTTTCACAGCCATTCAACAGAAGTAGCGAATTTAAAATGCTTTTTTTTTTGTAGGTCATATGTTGTTGTCACTGGCATGGGATTGAACAGATTGATAAATAAATTGAAACCTTTGACTATTGGACTTTCTTCACTCAACAGCTCTTGATAACGTTTTGAGTTGAAAATCATGAAGGTATTATGCTCAGCTACGAACTGCCACTGTAGGTCATAGCTTAAAGACACTAAAAGAACCACACCACAGTCCTGGTCGAGTACCCGGCAGTTACCTGTACAAAGTGTACATCAAGGGGTAAAAAAAACCTCTTCATTTCACGAGTGCAGGCACAGGTAGGCCTATATATACCGTAAATAAAATGTGGGTATTGTAGAGTTACAGCATGAATGAAACTTTATTTATATTTTCTTATTTATTAACTCTACATCTTAAAAAAGTAAATTGATTAAGGAATATCCAGATATCAGTTTTTTTAAGCAACAAGATAAATCTTACTTTGGACAATTTACAGCTGTTAATCTGTACGCACAGAATGTGAGCGTAAGGTAATGTTCTTCACTGCCTCTGTTATTATAAACTTTGTACAATTTTGTGATCACGGGTCAGGTCGCACTTATTATTTATGGGTCAGTACGGTCCCAGCCAGGTTTTAAATGGGGATAATTGCAGGTAACGGGTTGGGACTTGGTTCTGAACTGTATGGGTGCGGATACAGTTTTGAAAAATCAGACTCATGCAGGTCTCTGCCACTACATCAGCAAAATGTAAAGATGATACCATATGGTTCTCTTATTAGATCCTTTCTAACCTGCCTTGACACCCTTTCACCCTTTCTGCCCCAAGACAGATTTTGAAGAATATCACATAGAAGTTAGAGCCAGGATACACTTAGGGCCATGGCCACCTGTGTGAATGAGCAGACTGGATTATGAGCAGCAGGGGTATGGTCAGGATACGGATAAATGAAAGTGAATTAAACATGACATATTGATTCAAGTGATGACAAACAGGTAATAAAGTGCTCAGCAGGAAAATGCTATCAATCAATGCTCACTATGCTGGCTGGCCAAGTGGCAGGTGCCTAGGTGAGATGGTTAAACGTTGCATTCCATTCATACTTGCAGATCTGAAAACCACATAAAATAGTGTTTATGTCATCTATGACCCCTCATCACTTTTAAAAATGTACAGATCTTCGCCTTGTGCGTTTTTCTACTAAAAACTTTATCTAGATTTGGACCAAGATTATTGCAAAAACAGAAACATTTTGACATTTTCCTTAGTTGTATTACTGAATTATGGTTTATTTGAATCAGAATAATAATCCAATTGTCAGGATTCCACCCTCTGCTTAGGTTTATTTTTAGTTTCCTTATAATTGTGTGTCTTTGTAGTTGTTTTCTGACTGTGTTGTGTTTTGGAGTTGCTTTCTGTTGTCCCCTTGTGGCTGTTTTCTTTCCCCTTGGCCCCCTTCTAGTTAGTCCTATTCACACCTGCTCCATATTGGCTCATTAATTCTTTGTTCTGTTCCCCATATATACACCACCTCTGCAGTTCCTTATTGCTGGTGTCTTGTTGTTTTATTGCATCATCGTATCTTTGCTCTCCGTGTTCTCCCTGGCATCTTCTGATTTTTTGGATTTTCAGTATTTTTGTAATTTGCCCCTGTGACCTCTGAAATTTACATTAAATCAGCACAACTCATGTCTGCTTCCTCATCTCTGCATTTGGGTCCTAAACCAACCTCCACGAAACCTTGACACCAACAGACAACGGTGTTATATACAGTAGGCCTATGAAATTTCAATAGAGGCTTAATTATTTTGATTGGTTGGGAATGTTTGACATATCATCTTACATGCCTGTTGTTCCATGCCTCGCATCCATTATCCGCTGCAGTTAAAGCTACAGCTAAATTATTATAAATATAATTATAGATAAGATTAATTAATGGCCATCATTCATCAGATCATTTCTTTAATTCATCTGATTTTTGTATCAGTTAGCACCTCTTCTAGGCCACGGCAGTGTGGTTCTATGACCTAATGACAAATTGTATGTCCCAGTAAATAATTCATTTTTGGTATATACTTGCATAACAGCAGAAACTGGGTGACCCAATTTTCAGCAATAACAGGGAAGTCAATCACTCGACAGCAATTCCCATGACAGGAACAGAATTACCACATGTTCGAGCTGTATTGGCATTACACAAATGTTTTTATCTTTGATTGCTTGTATAGCTGTTTCTTCTAAAGGCTCACTTTCAGGGAGCCTACAGAAGCAACTGTATCTCCACATGATATTTCAGATTTTTGTCTAGATGTCAGCAAAGTATGTCTAAAAATGTTTTTTTATCTGGAAAGGTTCAAATATTTCAATTTTATTTAGTATAACAGGTGTCTCACTATGATTTTGACGTTGTGCTTTCCTCCGTAGGCAACTATGGTGAGAGTGGCATGGAGGCATTCAAAGAAATGGCAGCAAAAGAGGGGATCTGCATTGCCCATTCTGATAAAATATACAGTAATGCAGGGGAACAAAACTTTGACAAACTGCTGCAGAAACTCAGGGGCCATCTACCCAAAGCAAGAGTGGTGGCCTGCTTTTGCGAGGGTATGACAGTCCGAGGAATTCTGATGGCCATGAGACGACAGCGTCTGGTGGGCGAGTTCCTGCTGGTGGGAAGGTGAGCAGGGAAAGCTTTCCTGTTAAATTTCTGCCCTCATGTCTTGTCGCTGAGTGTTTCATTTGCCTTTTCTAGGAAATAAAGGAAGCCAGCTTTGTGCCTCCAGATTCACAGTCTTGTTGTTTCCAGTTCAGACTCTCTTCAGATGTCCCGCGTCATGCATCCTGATGTATCTGTTGATAGAAGGACCATCTTTGTCTTCTCATCCTCATCATCATTGCATCTTAATCAGCTTAATCCTTGAAAACTCAAGGTATTTTTATATTTGGTATTTCCATTCATAGTGTTTTACAAAAGTAATTGCTTCTCTTGAATGTTTACCTAAACTGTCTCATAACAGATACAAACCTTAATTTATTTTGTTGGAATCTTGTATGATAGAGCAACACAACCTGTGATGCATACATGTGAAATTAACAGAAAGGTATATAATAACATTTATGCACATAAAAATGATAGTGGCGGCATACATATGAATTTAGTCCTGCTCATGAAACCACCAGATAAAGCTCAAAGGCAGCCTACTGGCTTTAATAATTACCCAATTAGTACAAGGAGTCCAACTGTGTTTAATTTAAATATAGAATGTACAGCTGGTCCCTGGTGAGTAGCTGCAGATTTTCACAACTCAGAATCTGTATACATATCAATGAGCTGTGCATTTAATCAAACTGTTTGTCCTTAGTTAGACATAGTAAAAGGAAATCTGTTGTCAAAAAAGGCTGCTATTGTATAGGTAACATTTCTAGTTTGCTTCAAACCATTTAGGTAACAAAGCAAACATAGAAGTTGTCACGATTTGGTGTTGGATTGAGGACCCAAAAGCAGAGGCAAGTAGGCAGAGGTGAATTTAGGTGGGTTTAATGAAGTCCACAGGTACAGAGGCAGGAATCAAAAATTCCAACAAAAATAACAAACAAACCAGAACCAAGGAGACATCTGGGGAAACCAAACTCTAGGAGCCAGGGAGAGACGAGGTAAGCAGACAGACGTTAGACGAGGATCCAGCAAACAGGAACTGAAGAGGGAGGGCTTTTAAAGGGGACAGAGACAAAGAGAGGGCTAACGAGAGGATTGGAAACAGGTGAGGAACAGAGCAGAAAACAGAGCTAGGGATAGAGGACACAAGAGGGCAGCAGAGGACAACAAATGGAAAACCTGGAAGACAGGAACTAAAAAGAAAACAACAAAATAATAATTAAACACTAAAACAAGAACCAAATTAAAACTGAATACTCTAAATAAACATTACAAAACCAAGACTGTGACAGAAGTATTATACTCAAAGTGAACGTTTTTGCCTGCACAATGCAGTTTTGTGAAATAATGACACAAAATATTATTTTGAAGACACATTGTGTATAACTAGCCTGCCAACATTGTGCTTTTCCTTATAAAGAACATAGAAAGTAATCAACATTCGTGGTTCATATCGATACCAAGTCCATCCATCCCTCCATCTATTTTCTCACGCTTAGTCCTTGTCAGGGTCGCGATTCAATACAAAGTAATACTGAAAAAAAAAAAAAACTTTAAAAAAGTATAGATTTCAGAGTTGAGCAGAGATTTACCTTCCAGCAGGAAAACAATCCTCTGCATCAGTATTCACCAGCGTGGTCCCACAGGAACCAAGGGGCCCACAAAGGGGCCTCATGGGGTGGCCACAGCGTCTTCTGAAAACAGCACATCTCACCAGTGAGCTAAGATTAAAATTTTTAATTTATTCTGTTGCCCTTCTTTTTTAATCATTAATAGGGTATTTCATCACTTTAATCATACAGAGCATTTAAGCATTTATAGAGATTTTAAAATGACAATATAATTAAGAAAATTAGGAGTTATAAGAAACAATACAAATATGATTATTATGCATGAAGTTTAGGTGAACACTGATCCTTCCTTCCTTCCTTCCTTCCTTCCTTCCTTCCTTCCTTCCTTCCTTCCTTCCTTCCTTCCTTCCTTCCTTCCTTCCTTCCTTCCTTCCTTCCTTCCTTCCTTCCTTCCTGACTCAGTACCCATGAAGTAGCCCTCGGCTGGTGACCACTGCTCTATATTTTGCTGGAGCTACAATTTGATGGTTTTATTAATGCATTTTCCGTTTCCCATTAAAAGTCGAGACCTGAATCCATTGGAGAATTAACAGCATTACTTGGAAACAGCTGTTCAGATACCCTCTATCATTATGACTGAGCTTGAGCTACTTTGTAAAGATTAGAAGTACACATCTACTTAGATCCAACAGAGACCAATCCCAAAATACTTCAACTGTAATAACAGCAATAGATACTTCTAATGTATAAAGTGACTGAACAAGGCTTAATACAAATGCATCCTCCACTTTTTTAAATTACATTTATTTCTGCATTCTTTCACTCTACAAAAATAAGACTTGTGTGCCAGTACAAGTTAAACGCATCTAAATTATTTCTGTGTATAATAGGGACAGATTTGTCAATGTGGCCTTTTATAATGAAAAAATCCAAATATAAAATTATCAACACCACTTAAATAATGGTAAAAGTGCTCTCTGATTAAAATGACTATATTATCTATTTATGTTAAGAAATACAAAGTCATTGAAAGCTTTTTTTTTCACATTCAATAAAAAATAAAAATATTTATATTCACAAGTCACCGTTTTGCCATACTATACAAAAATCCTCCAGCAAAGATTTAAAAAGAAAATCATCTCAAGACTGGGTAAAAAAAAATATGAAGAAAATGCCTTTCATATCATTAGAGATGAAAACAAGTAGGCATGAGGGAGTGGATCTAGCAAGCGGTTGTAGTCTCTTGCTGAGAATAACGTTTTATTTTAGGTTCAGCTCTTTGGCTCGCTCTCGTCCCTGGTGTTCTATAAATTCCTTTCCTCATTAGGAGCCACATATGTAGGCTGTCGCTCAAATCTGACAGCAAGGAAATGTAAAATAACCTTGAACTACATATTCTAAAATCACAACTATCCACCTATCTGTCAGCTCACAAAGGCTTATAGCAAAAAGGTGTGCCCACATTAAACTTATGAAGAACCTCGCAGAAAAACAGTTTTTCTGTCATTTAGGATCTGTGCACCAATTATCTTCACTGTTTTTTCTTTCTGTAGTTGTGTGCAGTGATTTTCTTCTCTTGCTGTACTTCTAACTTTTATCTGATGCTTGGAAATTACTGTGAGTTAAAAAAAATAGAATTACGATGCTGCAGCTGTGCTTTGCTAAAGTATTCCCTCCCTTCTAAGTTTTCAATATATAAAGTATTGCTATTTGTTGTATTCTTCAATATTTTCTCTATCACTCCCAAATAATATCCTGTGCAACCAATCATCGTCATCAGTTTTATGATTCCTGAACACCATCCATCTGTAAAAAATAAATCTGACTATAAGGGTAGCTTTTAAGATCTGACAGGTTTGTAAGAGAACTAAAGTAAACAAAGCATCCCTATGAGCAAAACACACAGACACACAGGTCAAGGAGAGGACTGTAGAGCTTAAATCTACATGTTTCAATCTCTTAAACATTATTTAATATTTTATGCAGAAACTAAAAGAGAATGTTTCAACTTAAGCCTTCTAAGACATGGCAGTATTCTTAAACTGAAAGAATTGTTATGGAGAGCATTGATTTTAAAAAGCAACCATGAGGTGTACCGTTACTTTCGAGGAGCTTTAGAGATGCACAGCTAAAGTGAAAAAATCTGTGGAAAACAACACCTCAAATATTTCTAAACTATATGGAAAGCAGCTTATAAGATAGCCGACATTGATAGGAAGACATAAGAAGTGTTGGGGTTTTGTTGTTTTCTTTTTGTCTCACTCCATCTAGGGACCCCAGTAGACAAGTAGAAGATGGTCTTCTAGTCTGATGACACTTTCTGACCTATATGCATGCCTTGAGTGATTGCCCATCACCATGAAGTATCATAAACATTGTGGTGGGTGCAGCATGATTAGGGGGTGCCTTTACTGTTGAGGAAGACAAAGGTTCACCTTTGAGCTGGACAGAGACTTTAAACATAATTCAAAATATACAACGGTCTAGCTCAAAACATATTTGTGCTACAATGCTCTAATTAAAGTACCAACCCAAATCTAAACCACAGATCCATCCAGTGTGACCTATTCTGCAAAAAATAATGATGGAACAGTTAAAAAAATTTCAACAGTGAGGCGATTGATTTTGAGCCACTTTTTCAAATTATTACATAATTAAATTAAACCACTTTGCAAGTATGCACTACCATAAGTTTAGATGTGCAGCTTGAGTGACAACTCTCCCTCGATTCTGACTGCTGCATACACATTTTCTTCACACAAGAGCTCCTATTAAAATCTATGAATTTCTATTACTGTTAATGCATTGTGATCCCTCATTGGTTTTCCACCCACAAATACAGCCGTTGGAGCAGAAACATAGCAGCTAAGATTGCTTGGGTCATGGGGGAGAGTTTCTGCTCCATTTAGATCAGACAGTTGTTGATGTTTGGTCTTTTCTTTTTTCTCTGTTACTCAGTATTAGGCATAAAAATCACACCTTTTCTGCTACTGCATTGTTAAAAACCGACTGCTCTAAAAATGTACGGAAAAAGGAGAGCAAGATGTCTGTGTGTGTACACACTTGAACAGCAAGCATACATGTGTCTTCAGGCATGTAGGTGGAATAGCAACACGCCGTATGCAGCATGGTGCCCTGTTAGGTCGATGTGTGGGTTTTAGAGCGCTTGTTGAACAGTGATTCAAACTATCCAGAGTCAAAGCCCTCTATGCTTTTTAAATCTATTCCTGCCTGTTTTATAGCAATGCGCCATTTCTGTACGCGCTTCTCTAAGGATGTGTTATGAAATGATCTCCTACCTCACCAGATTCAGGCATTATAAAACACCCACACACTGTTGTATAACTCCAGCTTGGTTAAAGAAGTTTTTTTTTTTTTTTTTTCTTCCTTCACTATTTTTATTCCCCTGCAAATTAGTTAGAAGGAGACATTTGCTACCCTCAACCATGACATTATGACAGCTGAACAATGAAAACTTATAATTAGAAATATGAAAGGAACTTAGTTTTGAGTGGCACACATGAAACAGCAAGCTACCACTTTGGCCTTGAGAGTTTATGTCTTACACGCAGAGGTTGGGAAGGTGCAAATATTAGAGCAAACATCATTAAAGACACAGAAACCTAAGCTTAAATCTTCACACTTTGAGCTTTTAAAGAAAGTTCCAGTATACATCAATCAATGTAACATTACCACAAAACTAGTATGAAGTTAAAGTGAAATTTATAATAGATCCTCATTGATATTTTAATAAGAAATTGAAAGATCATTGCAACACTTTTCTATATTCTATGCCTAAAAATCTCAGTATTGCTGACATTATCATGGTTATTTGGTCTAAAAATAAAATAACAAAAGCCTTAAACTAAAATTACCTTTTATTGTAGTAAAATATCATCACACAGAACCTTTTCAGTGTATCCCAACTTTAATTTGGGTGCAGATATTTAAAATATTGCCTTGTTTGTCTCTTAATATATATATTTTTAATAAGGAATTTTAAAATCACCTCTGCTAAAATTCTTTCAACCCCCTACAACAATAGGACAAAAACTTTCCAGCTCCTAAAACATTGAAAAAAACTGGAGCATGTACAGTATACAGAGGGGTATGTTTTCTGTAAGACGTAAGTCAATGGATGAAAGCGGAAGGTTATGGACTATGGGAAGGTGCTCACATTTTGATAAGTCAGTGTTCCATGCAGGACAAACCCAAAGCCCTACCCACCATCAGACTTAAAAGAAGAGGTTTTATTACATAGGAGGTTGTATGTTTCACATATTCTTTCTTTTTATGCAAAAAAAATATATACTGATTGTGCATGGTCAAAAAAGCCCATTTTGTGTCATCTCTCCAACCCACAAATGTCTAGCCAAAAATACATTTTAGGAAACTCAATGTTTTGCTTCTAATATACAGGAAAGGTTTCTTTCTGCGTCATTCCAAAGCAATCCATGGGCTTGAATGTAGTATTTATGGCTAAAATAAAGACTTTGCAATCACAAGATTACACTTTTTTCAGTTCTTGAATAGTTATTGTGTGCTTCCTCACTCCTACCCTGATGGGTGCGGTTTAAAGATAAATAAGGGTTCTTCAGTCCAGAGGCCAGTGGCCTAGAAATGGACTTCTGTGTGTGAGATCATATTCATACCCCAGGAAGTGACAAATAAATAATTAGACTATACGAAAAAATCTGATTGACTGAAAGGGTGGGATGCTGAAATGCTTGAGCTGCTTTATTTTAAAGGGATTTTTTGGAGCACCAATAATTCTACCATTGGTTTACAGTGGTTTTCTTTTTACCAGCTGAACCTTCCATCTATTTTCTGACGGATCTATGCTTTCCTTGTTCGCCAGGGGTGCTGTTGCCTATCTCCAGCTGTCAATGGGCGAGATACAGTGTACACCCTTGAAAGGTCACTAGTCTATCGCAGGGCAACACATAGACAAACAGGACAAACAACAATTCACACACACACCTAAGGAGAATTTAGAGAAGCCCATTAACCTAACAGTCATGTTTTTGGACTGTGGGAGGAAGCCGGGGTACCCGGAGAGAACCCACGCATGCTCAGGGAGAACATGCAAATTCGATGCAAAAAGACCCCGGGCCGGTAATCAAATCCACATCAAAGGTTGTATTTTCTCAGAATGAGATTAAGATATTTAAGTTAAACATAGATTTATTATCAAGCTTTTTTTTCTTTTTTTTTTTTACCAATCAGCGCAGTAGCCACCAATAGTGTACAGTTTGTATCTCCTGTAAGTGTCAGGATCGGCTGCTGTTTTCTCCTCACTCACAATGGGAGGTAAAAGGCTTTTTTCTGAGGTGACAGTCCCATCTAAACATTCAAACTGTGGAGTGAGACGCAAAAATGAAAAGCAGTTGTTTACACTGCTGCATTATGCTTTTTTTTAACCTGTGGAATGTTTTTTGTAAAGGTATGTGGAACTTAGTTATTTTGCTCACAATTTAAAGTTGTTGGGTTGCAGCTAATCAAAAGGTAAAAAGAGCTTCCAATCGGGAAAAAAAAGTCAGATAAGTGACTTCTCCCATTTTTCTCTCTAACAGCTTTCTTTTTGTTTTCTTCTCTCTGCTAAGTGATGGCTGGGCGGACAGGTATGATGTTACTGATGGCTATCAAAAGGAGGCTGCTGGTGGAATCACCATAAAGCTAAAGTCAGCACATGTCAACTGGTTCGATGATTATTACCTGAATCTGAAGCCTGATTCCAACCTGAGAAACCCGTGGTTTCCTGAATTCTGGCAGCACCGTTTCCAGTGTCGGCTGAGAGGACATCCACAGGAGAGCACAAAGTACAACCGCACTTGCAGCTGTTAGTACGACTTGCTTCCTTCACTGCTTTACACTTTTAATGAGTCTCTAACTGCAAACGATAAATCTTTCTTCTAATTCACAAGGACATTTTTTTTTTTGGCTGATGTTTAAAAGTGACATGATGTTTTCCACAGGGAGAGAATCGCTGCGACATCAGTATGCCCAAGATACAAAAATGGGTTTTGTCATAAATGCCATTTACTCAATGGCATATGGTCTCCATGCTATGCAGCAAGCCCTCTGTCCAGGCGTAAAGGTATGACCCTAAAGATTGTGGTTATACAAATTCCCTTTCTGTGTTAAATACATTTACTGTATGCTGCTTCTGTTTTTTCAAGGGTTTGTGTGAAAACATGCGGCCCATTGATGGTCGCAAGCTGCTAGATTTCCTAATGAGAACCAACTTTACTGGTGTATCGGGAGAAATAATCCACTTTGACCAGAATGGAGATTCACCTGGCAGGTAGGGGTTCTGTTAAAGGTATAGTGGAGGATGTTCTTTTTCCGGGTGGATCATAAAAATAAGTAGTCCTCCTAATTGTCAATCATTCTGGTGATATGTTTACATAAAGTCCTACCTGCTCGTCCCCATTTCACTTACCGGTGGTGAGTCTTACATATTGGAAAAATTGCTAATCTTTTTTGGGAAATTAAGCTTGTATGAGCAATGCAAACAGCAACTTTTAAACAGAGCATGCATGAGGAGAAAAGGGCTTGTGCATGCTCTCACAGGCGTTTAACAGGTACAAGGTTGTGCATGTGCATTTTTTTTTAAGTGGAGAGGGCTGGTCTTTTCAAACATTCAGGAAAATCCTCCACTATACTTTTAAGGACCAGAAGAAAGAGATGAGACTCATAATAAGGAACTATAAAAGTGTGCTCATGTGTGTGTCAGGTATGAAATCATGAATTTCAAGCAGACTGGCATGGATCAATATGCATACATCCATGTGGGAAGTTGGGATCAGGGTGGTCTGAGAATGAACGATGAGGAGATATGGAGCAACAGCAGTGAAATTATCCAATCGGTCTGCTCTGAGCCCTGTCAAAAAGCTCAGATCAAGGTGGGATTTCCCTTTCTTTTCAGTAAAGTTTGAAGTGTTGAGTTCATATCAGTTCATGAATAACAGAAATACTCCTGTTTAAGACTTTCAGGTTGCTCATTTTTCACAGTAAAATATTCCCCAGAAGGTGATGCTGAGCAACAGAGCATTACTTCTGACAGGCTTTCCTCTGACACAAGCTTATTGTAAAAAAAAAAAAAAAAAAAAAAAAAAAACTCTATGTACATTTAAACTTTAAACCCCAAAACAATCCAACCTAAAAATATAACTATTGTTATATCTTTTTACAGTGGGATGAAATTATGCATATTTGTTGGCATCAAACTTTATAAATGTTGAAAGTATGATCTTTAGCAACACAGGATCATTGCGTTTTTATTGACAGATGACAGATCCGATCAAAGAATAACGTCAGCATTGAAGTCCATACAGATATTAAATCTGGTGGAATTGAAAAAGTTTCTGTTTTATTCTATTTTTATTCAGTATCTTGTTTTATTGTGTTATGTTTCACTTAAATTCCTCAAGAAGTGTATGAAAGGCTCTGGTCTTAATGAATCAATTTCATACCAGATTTATTTTATTCTTTATTAAATGTCTCTTAACAACAATGAATTTTTCCAGTCCCACATTCCGCCTCTGCCTCTTCACATATGAGGCCCGAGTGCCACAAAGGAGCATATGTCTCATCTTAATGTGTTGTGTGAAAAGAGTTTGAAGTAACAATGCCCAGTGGAGTATTAACTACACCTCCGTGTAATATCCACAATAATGATAGCATTTATCGTAAGGAAACTTGTCATGAACAACCCACATATGCACTTTAAATTGATCCCACAGGTTTGCAGCATCAATCAGGACAATAATAAAATACCCCACTGAAGATGCAATTTATTCTACGGTTTATGCCTTAATCATCTCCCATCTGGTCCTCTTTAGCTTCCTCCATCTTATTTGTACTGAAGGGAAGTTTTTATTTATTCCTTTTTTCTCCTCTGTATTGTCCAAAAGTTCTGTAATGTCAATACTTTGTTCAAAAGTTGATTGTATCTATATAGTCTGACACCATATTTAAAATTTTATACTCTTGATCTGAAAGCTGCTAAATCTTTTGCAGCCCTAGATGTGACCTTTTTTCTTGCATGTTCTGAACTTGCAACTCCAAACCAGAATCTTTCTTCCTGTCAAACTCAATCCAGCAGGACCCATTTCCTTTCTTTAACAGCTTTCTGTTAACAATGAATAATGCCTTTAATGGAGATAGATCTCACAAATCTTTCTTTTTTTTGTGCAGCATCTGCACCTGTCCCTTTTATGAGCCAAGAACAAAGTTGTATAATTGTCACTCTAATCCAGACTGCTTGCCAGAGAAGAAAATAGTGATATTTTTAACATCCATAAACGTGCACTGCCTTTTAAAATGATAAATAATTACTTAATTCAGAACTTGAATGCATTTCAGTTGGATTTTACATGATACATAAACACAAAGTATTGCATAATTGTGAGGTTAATGAAAAAATATGCATGCTATAAATGAATAAAAGCTTGAAGTATCAAAGTCTATTTCACCCCTTTCCTCTGCTATCCCAAATTATGAAAGTCACTTAAATAGTAAATACATTATACCCACCTTTTTTGTATCATTAGAAGTGTAGTAGGGAGCATTAATGAAAAGAAAAGAAACCATTAGTGTTCATAATTCAAGGTTTTGGCAAACAGGCGAAATCTATGTGACTCCAAACTGTTAAACAAAACATAAAATCCCAAGAAGCCGGCAGCATTATGGTGCATGGATGCTGTTTTTAAGCACTAACCAGTAGCACTAAATTCGAGAAATAGATTTTGTTTCAAATGACTTAGAATTGGGAGAGAGGTTCCCTTATCTGGCTAGTGATTAAATATAAATATGAGAGCCGATGGGTCACCAATAGGTCAGAGCATATTAATGTGTTAAAAGTGACCTTTTAAGTTCCAGACCCAAATTGAATTGAGTGTTTGTTGCAAAATTGAAAACTGATGTTCACAGATGTTCTCCATCCCATCTGACAGAGGTTCGCAATAAAGATTGTGTGAAATGTTTAGTTAATGGATCCATAAAACTAATATAAACACACGCTAAGAACCCATCTGGGAAATCATTATGCTCTGTTCTGCAAATACAAAAATAGATAAATATGTACAGTGTTTAAAACTGCATTCTGGCAAAAAATATTAACAGCAACATTAGGTAGTAGGAAGCATTAAGCTAATACTTTACAAAGTTAGATTAGCTGTTGGCAAAGGAATAAGTGGTTTAAATAGCATTTGCTCATTATTTTCATGACTCATTAACACACTCCTCACTGAATTATCAACCACTTTCTTCCTCCTTATTTATATTCAGAGATCAATTTTTTTAACAGCAGAATTCAACATTCTAAATGCCTTCATCCTGTTTCCCAGGGCAGACATGCTTTAATTTCCCAGTCTTTCATTGCAGACAGAGTGCAAGATTAGCTACAGTAAAGCACCATTGGAGCTTTGAGACCTTTCCACCTTCTATTTCTGCTGTGTGCCGATGTGTTTCCAGGTGATCCGTAAAGGAGAGGTAAGCTGCTGTTGGACCTGTACTCCCTGCAAGGAGAATGAATTTGTCTTTGATGAGTACACTTGTCGAGCTTGTGTCCTGGGATCGTGGCCTACATATGACCTCACTGGTAAACATTTTTCGTCTTCTTTATTCAGACATTCCAATTTTTTTTAAAACAAGGCCTAATTGGAACCATCATATCAGTTTAAGAGTGATGGTCCTCCTTCCAAAATATCATTCTTTTTTTTTGTTTTCTGTGCCCAAATACACTTTAATTAACAGTTATATGCAAACCACATACTGTGCAACACAAAAACAAGACTGCATACCCCATGACAATACTTAGTTCTGCTTATGCCTCATCCAGCATTCAGTATTTGTACAGATCTTGTTTGGATGTGTAACTTTTTTTAAGTTGTATTTAATTGTGCATTTTGTTGAATCTTTTCTGATCCATCTCTTCAGGTTGTGCACCAATTCCAGTCCAATATGTGCGTTGGGGGGATCCAGAGCCAATAGCTGCTGTAGTTTTTGCCTGTCTGGGCCTCATGGCGACACTTTTTGTCACTTCTGTCTTCATCAAGTAATTAGAGATACATATTTACATTTAACACACATATTAACTTTTGAAATTACTGGATCATAATGATCGAAACATAGGTGGCCAAAATCTCCATTTTTGAAATCTGCACACGTAAATATCATGTTTGTAATAATCACTGAATTGACCATTATAATTACTAGTATAGTTACTTTTGATAAATGTTATTTTTACCTGTACATGTAAAAACTTGAAAATAATTCGATAGTAAATTCTTTTTTATCTCAGCAACAATTTAAACATGTAATACTCAATCACATTAACAACATATTTCGTTTTCTGTAAAAACAAAAAACAAAAAAAAACAAATCTGTCAATAAACAAAATGCAGAAATATTAAAAAGGTTCCTATAAATTTACTTTATGGAAACAATAGATAAAACATTGTAATATAATATAAGCACAAAAAAAGGGTTTCATTGTTTTCATGGCCTTGAATTCTCTCTTTTCCATAGTCAATTGTTGCGGTACTTTTGTGTGGAGAAGTGGTTACTTCTCGCTTGCATGCTAGAAGTAAGCACTTCTCTGTGTCACCAAATGAAACCTAACATTCTGGGTCAAAGCTGACTTCTGCTTTGGCCTAAATTAATGTAAAATGTTAAAAACATCTAGTCAAGCTATAAAGGTGGTGAAAAGGTCATAAAAATCTGAAGCGATTTGGAGAATGTCAACCAGTAGTTTATAACAGGCTGAACCGTATTTTTGTGCATTTTCTGTCTTGTTCAGTAATCCTTTTATTAATGTGTAGGTTTTGGGACACTCCAGTGGTGAAGTCATCCAGTCGGGAGCTTTGCTACATTATTCTTGCCGGAATATGCCTGGGGTACTTGTGCACCTTTAGCCTCATTGCCAAGCCACACATTGTCTACTGCTACCTGCAGCGGCTGGGGATCGGTCTGTCTCCTGCCATGAGCTACTCAGCTTTAGTCACCAAGGTACTTTCATTTATGTTCTGTTGCTTGGAGGCAGAGGAAGTATGATCATTGATATCGGTCACTTCCTGTATAATACTGACACAAAGCGTATTGTTTTTGGTAGGTAAGTAGCCTAATATGGTGTCAGTTTTTAAGACAAAACCATAAAATAACCCAGTAGCACAGCAGTTCTACATATTTTTATCAAGCTGCTTTGAATTTAAGCACCGTATTTGAATGGTAAATATGATCTTATATGCATAAGAGACTTGCATCAGAAGATTTTCTTGATGAAACTGGATTGTTTGCATGTAAATACTAAAATATAAACCGTAGCTACATCCACAGTGTGGCATATTATTCCTCAATGTGTATGTCATGTATGGTTTTCTCAACAAACAAAACATAACTGAGCTTAAGAGGCTGGAGCATTGCCAGTTATACACGAGCACAAAATAAAAAATCTTAGCGTGGGCTGAGGCTGATATTTCAGGTCAAGGAAAATGATTGTTCACACGAATCATCATGAGAAGTGTTATCCTCTAACATCCTCTGTTCAGTGTAACTAAATCACTTATATTTATTTTGATCTATTTTCAATCCAGACCAACCGTATAGCACGTATCCTGGCAGGCAGCAAGAAGAAGATCTGTACCAAGAAACCACGCTTTATGTCCGCCTGCGCACAATTGGTCATCGCCTTCCTACTCATACTGCTGCAGCTGGGGATTATTGTGGCACTTCTTATCATAGAGCCACCAGAGGTACGTGTGAATATGTGTTTGCACTACTTTGGATGATATTAATGAGCCTGAGCGACATTTTCTATTTCTCTCTCTCTCTTTTAGGTGATCTATGATTACCCCAGCATCCGAGAGGTGCATTTGATTTGCAATCTCACCACTTTAGGAGTGGTGGCGCCACTGGGCTACAACGGCCTTCTTATACTGAGCTGCACCTTCTATGCCTTTAAGGTACTTTAGAAATACATCAGTTAGTTTCTTACTGATCTTCCATTTCAGTTTTCTAAAGACTTTCTTTTCAGTTTCTACTGCCCTGTAGTGTTTACATGCATATGCTTCACCATAAGAAAAATACAAAAAAGGGAACATTATTTATATTCTTCACTTCACTGAAATTAGAGATGTCTGTGTAAAAAGAAAGTGTCCTAATAAATGTGAAATAACTTTTAAAAGGTGTTCTTGAAAAAAAGTTATATTTACAAAAAAATTGGTTGATTTGTATTCTCTTTTTAAACTGAGGTGGTAGAGAGAACATTAAACAAACTGGATCTAGTTTTGCTCTAATTTAAAATTCTGAACAGGATTATTTAGATTAAAGTGAAAAGAAACCTTGCAGAGCAGTTGAATGCATTTTTGAGTTCATATATTCACAGCATTAATGTTTCAAATAGTATTAAAATCAAAATAGAACTTAAAACCTAATCAACATGTAAATTTAAAATTGAATTAAGTGGAAATGTTTTGCATCTCAGAATCAAATCGATAACTTGTATTATTACCAAGCCCCCCTTGTCTACATCCATAATTTTATCACTGTTTTTTTATAAATCAATTTGGCTCCAGCTGGATCATTTTTTGTGCACTTTCGATTTTCGTTCTATTTTGTTGAAGATGTTACATTATGGCAATATTAATATGTTAAGAAATAAAAAGACAGTTAAGAGAAAGTAGGGAGTAAAGATATTTGTGTTCTAATGCAATGATTAAAACTTAGTATTCATACTTATTTACTTGACAGCTCTGGTTAAATGGTGCCAAAGAATACAGAATGAGAATATGTTGTAAGACTATAGTCATTTGTCTATAATGTTCTCCAAAAGACCTCCTGTCAAATAAAAGATATATCTGTACAGAGATGAAATTACACATCTGTTTACTGACTCGGTGACATCTGAATTGGTTGCACTATATCCTATAGGCGGGTATCACTCTTCAGATTTTCATATGAAGGTAATTCAAAAAGTCTATCTAGGCCACCAGATACATTTTCCTTTAGTTTGATTAATTACAATAAAATACATAAAAGTCTTTGATTTCATTATGACAAAAAATGAATTAGACATTATTGAAAGGTGGCCTAAATACAACTGCCTTACATTTCATTTTGTTTTCTTCTTCAACAGACTCGAAATGTGCCAGCTAACTTCAATGAGGCCAAGTACATTGCCTTTACCATGTACACCACTTGTATCATCTGGCTGGCCTTTGTACCCATTTACTTTGGCTCTAATTATAAGATCATCACTATGTGCTTTAGTGTAAGTCTCAGTGCAACGGTGGCTCTCTGCTGCATGTTTGTCCCTAAGGTAAGAAACAATCATGAAACAAAATCTGCTATAACGACTGTATCTCTATATTTATCTTTGAATATTATTTTTACACATTATTGCTTTTTTATTTTTTACTTTCAGGTGTACATTATGCTTGCCAAGCCTGAAAAGAATGTGCGCAGTGCTTTCACAACTTCCACCGTTGTCCGCATGCATGTGGGAAACGCCAAGAAAGCTGCCAAAGCTGGCAAGTCATCGAGCAGCATGGCCAACCTGTTTCGACGTGGTGGATCCACACAGGAAAACGTAAGGTAAAAAAAGACTAGATTCTGATGGATAGAGGGTTGAATGGATCAACAAGTGAGGTATTCTGTTCTTAAAAGGTCCTATATCATATAACTTTTAGAGCCTTTTAAACTTACCTGTTGGCAAATATATGACGAAATAATGCCTCTAGACCTCTCAAACTTCTTAGGTCTTCCGGCTCAAACACTGCATACCTCGAACCACACCCAAACATGAAGAGGCAGCATTTAGATCTTATGCTCAATTTATCGGAACAAACTCCCCCCCAAAAATGAAAGAGTTCTGAAACCTCAAATTGCTAAAAATACAGATAAAAACTTATTCTTTCAGAGAGGCCTTTTACTGTATTATATAATCTTACTTTGTTACTCACTTATTTTTTGTTTTTATTATTTTTGTTGCCCCTATGGAACTTAATTGTACTTTAGTACTTCTTTTTTGAAGTACAGCACTTTGAGTTGTTATGCCACTAAAATATGCAATATAAATAAATGTTTCTTACCTTAAGCACTATGTAGTTATTAATTTGTTATGAAATATTGTTGTTTACTTCTAACCCCACAAAAAAAAACACTTAACTTCAAAGGGAAGGGGCATCTCTCCATATGAGGGCTGCCCATTTCCGTATCACGCCACTTCTGAAGGCTGAACTAGGTCTCCCTCAAGGCTTAAAAAACTGATTTTCAAGACTTAAACCTACCCTAAAAAAGAGCTGCTGCCGAGATGATGCAGGACTCATGCACATACCACTTTGTTTCTTGTTTTGATAAGGGAAATGCCTTTTTACATAGTTAAGAGTTAGTAATTGATCAGAATAATACAGCCCCAGAACTCAAAGCTGAAAAAGGATGGTACACTATACCTTTAAGGGATATTTCTTATTGTAGTTGTTAGTATTACTAACTTAAAACAATGAAGTTTTTTACATCAGTAGTGCAAAGGTGAGCCCCTCCTTCTCCCTGACCCCGAAACTGACAACCTGTTAACGGCATATATAGAAAAGCAAGACAGAACTTATTAAGCGTAGTATCGTAAGATGTTTTAAGAGAAACTTCATTAATAGAATTTCAAGGTATTAAAAAATTGCTGTTTTGAATCAAAAGATCTGCAATGAAGACCTGGTGCAACAGAGTGCATTGGAAGCTAAGAAAAAAAAACTCCCTAAGCTGAGAAAAGCTTAGCTCATTTGGGTTATGAACTCCCAGGGGAACCCTGGAGCCTTAAATGATTTCCCTTTCTAGGGAAGATAAAAGAACATGGCAGCAGACTTTGTATGACACACAGCGAAAGATAGAAAGGAAATTCAAATGTGAAGGTGATTAAGACAGAGAGACAAGGCCAGGTAAAATGTTTTGCAGGTGAGCTGCATATTTTGAGCACTTCTATTGCAAAGGTTTTCATACCTGTTCGTACCCATTAAAGTGATAAAAAGATCAGCTTAATCAAAACAAAACTGAGAAAAATTGTTTTTGGACCAAAGGAAGATAAACGGTTATCTTACAGCCTCAGTTAAGTGATGGTCTTGAACCTGAACCTACAGATTTGCGAAAACACAAGTCGACCTGCTATCACCTAAAAACATCTTTAGGGTTAAAAAACTAATGTTAAACTTATGTCCTTGCAGGATCTTGAAAAAATAATCCATACCCTTATTTCTAGGAGAAATAATTACCACAATGGTGCCTATACAGGTCTGACTAAAAAGTCGATCAGGCAGCGTCAGTTGATCCAGAACTCCGCTGCCCTCATCCTCAAAACAGCTAATAAAGTAGAGCACATCACCCGAGTTTAAAAGTCCTTCCGCCAGCTCCACGTATCTCAGAGAATTGGCTTTAAAATATTTAAGTTACTCTATAAATCAATAAATGACTTAGCTCCAAAATACATGACAGACTTCTTGCCAGTGGATCAACCACCTCTTTTGGAGAACATTTTCCCAAGATTTGGGGGATTATGAAGAGATTTTTGTGTTCTTTAAGGTCAGCAGGGATTATTGCCTTGATGCACACCTATTGCAGCCTTTTTTTGCCCATTCTCTTTGTTATAATTGAATAATGAACAATTACCTTAACTAAGGAAAGTGTTGGCTTTTCTGGTTTCTTTTTTGATCTTTAGATGAAATATCTGTGCTATTGGAGTAAATTTGGTTGGCTGGTCTCTGTTCCCACTACACTGACAGATGTCAACAATTTATTTATTTATGTATTTATTGTGCTTGTGAGATCTCTCAGCCTACTTTGCATTGTAATACAGGTTCAGTTTAAGGGGTAACTTGATTCCACATGTCTGAGGTGGTAGTTAGATATGAGGATAGCTAGTAAATATGCTTTCTAACAGATATGTAATTAATTATTTAAAAAGAATGAATATCTTTTCACACAAGGCCAAGTTGGCCATTATTGCAGTTGACAATTAAAAACATGCATTTTTAATCACCCAAACTTTAAAAATGTTAACTGTTTTGAAAAGCTTGTAAAAGGACCTTAAAGGTTTTAAGGGAATCCATTGTCAATGCACTGTTTGTTGTTGTTGTCCATGTGTATTAATATTAAATGTGTTGAGCAGGAAACCTAAAACCTCTTTCTCTTCTGCAGTACCAATGGAAAATCTTGGGGACAGAATGAGCGGAGCTGCAGACCAAACTTGTGGAAGAGGATGTCATTCCATGTTAAGAAAAAAGCCCCTGTTGAAGTGAACCAGACTGCCATTATCAAGCCGTTTTCTAATGAGGGAGAAGCAACTGGAGACAGCTGTGTGACAGAGCAGTACGAAGGGGCCCAGCTTTCTCAGTCTTTTACCTGCTCACCCTCTCATTCACCTGCACCGCCCTTAAGTCAACATGCAGCAAAGGAAAGGAGTCCCCATTCAGAAGAGAAAGGTGAGGATGTGCAAGTCCTACCAACCTTTGCACCCGAGCTCTTTTCTGGGGTCAGGCGGAGAGGGGGAGACAATGGCCAGATGGCTGCGATTCTAGACGGCGGGGACATTAGCATCATTAGTGTGGGTGAAATTGGCCAAACCCAGGGCACCACCATCATGGACCAGATCAGCTGCGTTGTTAACCGTTTCACAGCCAACATCAGTGAACTGAACACCATGATGCTGCCAGGAGCTTCCATCGTTAGCTCCCCCTCCACCACACCTCTACACGTTGCCTCAGATAACTCCCCGTGTCCTTCCCAGTACTTTGATAGACAGACGTCCTCCACTGTCACCACATATGCTGAAGTAACTGCTGTGTCAAACTGCTGCGATAATCGACCTAAGATTTACGAGCAACTGGCTGGGACTTGTACCGGTGGGAGGCGGGCAAAGAATGCTGAGGAGCTGATGGCTCTGACCCCTCCCTCCCCGTTTAGGGATTTCTCCCTGAGCTCCAACGAGAGCTCCCCTACCTCCCTCTCCCTGGCTTCTGAGGCTGAATGCGACCAGCTGCTGCTGCGACACTACCAGAGCTCCTCGTCCCTTTAAATCTGCCACCCTCTTCGTATTTATCTTGTATCTGGAGTATTTGTTAACTCCTGAGACGCAGCAATCTATCCAGGTCCAAATTTTTTCATGCCTTTCTACATGTGAATAGTGAGTGGGATTTTTGTAATATTTTTCAGTCTGGATGGACTTAATGTGCTTCAGATGTCAGTTGGGCATTAGATTGAGAGAAGAATATGACCAAGGGATTTTTTTTTTGAGGGGAAGGGATTTTTTTATGCAGTTACGATCAGATGTTTAGGGTCACTTATAATCAACATGGACATCACATGTGAGGGGCTCTTAATTATTTATTCAAACAAGTCCTTTTTCAGTGATTTCCATGTGTATTATTAACACTTGTCACCTTCAGCATTTTAAACTAGAATTTTTTTAAATGCTTTTCATTTATTTTTATTTTTGTTATCTACACAGGTTTAAAATTACACACTTATATATGTATACATATGTACACATCATATTCCTATTGATATTTGGAAAAATGCTCTTCACAGGGTAACATTCTTCTGAATGATTCATTTTAAAATTATTTCGATTGGCTTTTGGAATCATTTTCCTCTGTAAACATAAGCTGTGCCCATTCTACCCATAAAATAACTTGAATTGCGCTTCAGGTAATAAACATTCTTGGTCCTTTTCACTCACTTTGTGCAATGCTTTAATACAACATTGAAATAGACCATCAGCATAATTCAACTAACACAATGCTATACAGTTGTTCCAGTATTCTTTGGTCATTAAGATCGAAACTTTTATCCTGTGTGACAAAACAGCTTGATCTTTGTCTCATCACACTAAAAAATATGTGTTAGTTTCGTACTAAATGGCCCCTACCCGCTCAATCGATAATTAATTTTTACTGTCACCATTATCAACAATGACACTGATGTTCCTGCTAGTTTGTTGGTTTTCCAAGGCCAATTCTGGTTACCTGAAGGCATCATTTTAAGTGAGACGGTTACACTTTGGACACAAGTTTATGTTCCACTAAAGAAAATGATCAGAAATTAGGGCATTGGTTAAAGAACAGTGAGAGTACGCTCCTTGACTGGTGCCAGCCACATAAATCACTAAATAATTATAAAGATAGATTTCCAACTGAAAACCAACCAGTTTAGATGATCTATACAAATTCTAAAAAAAATAAGTGGTCAAACTATTTTTTTAGATTACTACAAGGAGCTTTTAGTTGCTAAAATATATTTTTCCTTGTCAGTACCGTTTTTTCTTCATATATTACATGACCAAGCCTGCATACTGTATACATTTGACAGTGTGGACAATGTTTAGTACATGTAATTTTCTGCAAACAAAGGTTGTTTTTAAATTATAATCTGAATCATTATTGCTACATTGTTGTTGTACCTACTCTATTCTGGAAAAGAAGGTTTTAAAAATAAATAATTAAAGATGAAAATTTATTTGAAAATTTAAAAAGACACGTATGTAACTAAATACCTGACCAGAAACGTGCAGTCACACAACTTTAAATATAAAGACAAAAAGGAATTTATTTAAAAATAAAGCTAAGTTCTGCTTTATTCATCAAATTAGTGTGGACGTTGATGCATAATTTTTTTCCTGAATATTGTCCAAAGAAGACATTGATGCTAAGCTAAAGACCATTTAGAAGCTATTAAATCCCATCTTTTCGTTCATGAAGACTTTTTGAGTGTTTCTTAAAATGAATCTAAAATAACATCTCCAATGAAATCAGAGCAGGTATTAAATTGTTTTATTAAGTTACATATTTTAAGCTATATATGATCACTGAATGTATGACGTGTTGCTCTTGTTGCTGACAATCACCCTAAGAAAAAATTTTTAAACTACATTTGAAACATTTTTACTAATTTGCTAATTCATTGGCAATTCTTGCAGAGAGAAAATTTGGTAATATTTGAAGAAAAAAAACAAATACTGCAAATATTGCATCTTTTTTGTACACGCTCTTCCCTTGTTCAACAAGTCCTCTGCTTCTGTAACAGAAGAAGCTATTCACATCCCCAGGGAATACAAGTTACTGTCTCAGTGGACACATTCATCAGGGACATAACCCACAAAGAGCTCAAAGACAGCTTGGATGTCTTCTTCAGTCTTTTTATCTTGACATGACTTAATAGAATGTACGATGACTTGGGATTTGTACGTAGACCAAAACTATTTTACATCTCAGGATGTGTCTGAACCAAAACCCTTTCTGACTGTAATTCTTTCCTACTGGAATAGTGTGATAACTGGCACATAATGTTTCCGTTTTGCATGATGACTTTTTAAATTGTGTTTAAAAATTGTTCATTTCAGTTTTTTGAATTATATTTTAAGGGTAATTAGATGCAGTAGCAAAGAAATGATAAAGATAGGCGAATGTTTTTACGTTTCGCAAAAAGAAAGCACCTTGCAATGAAAATATATTGTTTCCAGTCTTGCTGTGCCTCCTACTGTGGAGTATGTTTTGTTTCTTTAAAATAGATTTAAATTTATTTTTTCTGATACTTAAAGCTCACCTAGTACACTGTTTTCTTATATTTACCCCCTAATTTGAAGATGTAGATAATACTTTGTTTTAACAGGTTTAAAGCTCTCAGTCTGATAATATTTATGTTGCAGCTATCCTTTATGTTTTGTCTATTTCTTAATTTATTGTTTGGCTTCAGTCCCTTATTTGTCTGCTTATATTCACAACGGTACCGATGTGTTTTTATTTCATATTTTTACTAATTCTTATTCCAAATATACTCATGGGAAATGACCATATTTGCATGTAGCTCTGTGCTAGATCAGATTTTAAAGATTTAAAAGTGTGTTTGTAACCTATTAAGACAAGCCTGTACTTTCTTTTATAAATCTGTGAAAGACTTTTACTGCATTAAAGGAATTTCTCTGCTGTCTTGTTTCTAAGTTCACTTCAGTTTCCTTTACAACTTAATGGAAAAGGAACAATTTTCTCTTTTTAAATTCAATTCATATCAGTTTATTTATGTACCGTCAATACACAAGACGTCATCTCAAGGCCCTTTACAAATACAATTAATCCATATAATCTGTTACGTATTTCAGTGCTGATCCATCCAGCGATTTATATACAAACAGGAGAATCTAAGTTACATAGAGCCAATTCAATTCACTTTATTTATATAGCGCCAATTCACACACATGTCATCTCAAGGCACTTCAACCAGATCATACAGTCAAATTGATTTAAAGTTTTTTATCTAAGGAAAACCAGCTGATTGCATCGATTCATTGACTCGAAGGCAATCCTATACACTAAGCATGCTTGTAGCGACAGTGGAGAGGCAAAACTCCCTTTTAACAGGAAGAAGCCTCCAGCAGAACCAGACTCAGTGTGAGCGGCCATCTCCTGAGGCAGACTGGGGTTCAAGGAGACAGAAGCAGACATAGAAAAAGAAGCAGAGATACAGAAGGCAATTGTAAACCAGCTCCACAGGCGGCCCTGTCCAGGAAACACACAGCCAGGCAGCGGAGCTGAGAGACAGCTCCTATGTCAGAGGAACAGGACTACTCTGAAAAAAAGGCAGATCACGAACATCTATAAAAAAAAAAGGTTTTGATGGCAGCCAGTGTAAGGACTTCAGAACGGGAAGTACTTGCTTTACTTTGTTAGTTCTAGGGGCTACTCAGTGGGGCAGTGGGTAGCACTGCTGCCGTGCAGCAAGAAGGTTCCGCGTTCAAATCCTGGCCCGAGGTCTTTCCGCATGGAGTTTGCATGTTCTCCCTGAGCATGCTTGGGTTCTCTCCGGGTACTCTAGCTTCCTCCCACAGTCCAAAAACATGATGGTTAGGTTAATTTGTTTCTCTAAATTTTCCTTAGGTGTGAGTTTGTGTGTGAATGGTTGTTTGTCTCTGTGTTGCCCTACAATGGACTGGCAAACTGTCCAAGATGTACCCTGCCTCTCGCCCGTAGATATCTGGAAATAGGCACCAGCTGGGATAAGCATGACAGAAAATGGATGTTAGTTTTAGTGAGAACACAGGCAGCAGCATTTTGGATCCGCTGTAGCTGTCTGAGGGACTTTTTAGGCAAATCTATGATGACACCATTTGTATAAATAAATTCCACTAAATTTCTTTTTCTAGGTCCTGCTTGGACATTAGTCCTTTAGTTTGGGAAATGTTCTTCAGGTAATAAAAGGCTGACTTGTTGCAGCTTTTATGGGCCTCTGTAAAGCAGCCGGCTGTCTGCAAAGTCATTATAACTGATTTTGTTGTTTGCTATAATCTCACCTAAGGGGACCATGAAATATTAATTTGAAGGGCCCCCAGAATTAATCCTTGAGGAACCCCACATGTGAGTTTTCTGTTCTCTGATTCAAAGTTTCCTATTGACACATCAATTATGGATACCTAAGAAGAAAAAGAACAACATTAATGAACCATCTACTTGCTCTGTCAGACGAGTAATGCTTTTTCTTTTGAAGACTGTCCTTAAACAATTCTCATTCACAGAAGCAGAGAGACATGCCGGACCGTTGTCTGGTGAATGACACAGACTATGAATGACTCACTACTCTGCTTACTGCAGTCCCATTAAGAAAATAGCTAAAATACTTAACATTAAAGCGCAGCTGAAAACATTAAGTTTTTTTCTTTTTTTTATAGGCCCAATGTGTCTGATTTAGCCTGATGTGCAAAGAATGAAGGTGGTGAGACATTCCATTCTGAATCCTGGGCAGCACCTGCATTTTCCAAAGACCATCCATGTCATGATCTGGCCTGTTTGCTCTCCCTTAATTAGTCATTCCTTTCACCTGTTATTTTCACTCCCTGCCTCAATTATAATTTATTCCTCTCACCTGTTTCCTCTGGTTTATATTTAGTTCAGCCTGAGCATTCAGGGCCAGATCATTACTTGTCTTTCTGTTAGCCTGTCTGTTAGTTTTGTCTCTCCTTGAATACTGGGTCCATCTGTCCACGTTTCATGACAATCCATCAATAACTGCATGATACATAGCCCGCAGGTTTAGTGCTAATGAAATCAGTAACAAACAAAAAAAAATTGTCCATCGCTTTTCATGTGTCAGATTTAATGGACAAAAAGATAGACGGAAAGGAGGGGCAGACAATTACAGAATATCTAAATATCCTAAAGCATCCTAATGAAAAATGAAGGAAACTTCATTTTTATTTAAGAAACCACAAATACAGAAAGTTATATAATCAACCATTCTTTTAGATATTGATAATACTGTCCTTAAGATTACTGCCTCTCTAATGAAAGTGGATATCATGGCACTATAAAGATTCATTTCAAACTGTGGAGCTCCAACTAAATGCTATTTTTTTGTCAATATCTAAAAGTCAAATGTTGATCTCTGCATGTGCACAGACTTAGATATTAGTATGTGCTGATTTATAAGACTTTCAAAAATGATCACATCTTACTTATAATCTTATTAAGTTTGGAATATTAGTGCGCAGTCTCTTGTCTCAGGACATTTTGAATCCTATTGCTATTCGGGTCAGAACAGAAAGGTGAAAGAAAGCTTTTAGCTTTTCTGTTCCAACTTCATGGAACAGCTTGTAGTCAGAGTTAAACCCTTAAACTCTGTTATCTGGGAGTATTTAAGGCTATCATAGAGCATTTCCAACTTACAAATGTAGATTTTTTGTTTTTGTGTGTAAATGGCTTTGTTGAATTAGAACTTTTTTGGTCAAATAGTATATTGTAGTTCTATTCTTAAAGTAAATATGTAAAAAAAAATATTCTCTTACTATATCCTGCTAGTATTGACCACTTTTCTCACAAATGAGTAATTTAAATTAAAAGGCCTTATTATACTTATTAGTTGGAGTAAATACTTTAACAATTGACAAACAATTTTCTTGGTATTTAACATAACAAAATGATATATATTGAGGACTAAATATAATGTCTCATTTAGGGAAGCATATGAAAATGATCAACAGGCAAATGTTACTAAGAAGTCTACTTGATTTTCTGAGCATAATAATAGTTCCATCGTGAACATCAATAACGTAAGGTGGGTTTCTGTTATAAAAGAAAATATATTAAGTATTAAGTTTATATGGTATAATATTGGTTATGCTGTGCTGTTATGTTTATATGCTTCCTGTCTATCATGCAACATTAAATTACTAAAGTCTTATCAGTCTTTAAAAAGAAAAGCAGCAAAACATTGCTTTAGCTCATTTAAACATTTTTGCTGACAATGGCAGGCTACAAAAGAGTATCAATACTGTGATATGGAGCCTAGGCGGAAGTTCAACTGAAGAAACTGATTGCTCTCCTACATCCACCTGCGACACAGCCAATGAGCGCCGAACCACACCTCCACGAAAGCCAATCGGCATCCAAAGTTCATCTTAAAAGGCCTCGGATCTGCAACTGGTATTCTCCTGTATGCAGGCGGTGGATGCGCTGTGACTTCATTAAGGCCCCGTCCACACGAAGACGAACCCTGGCCTAAACGCACAAATTTTTCACCAAACCAGCCTCTCATCCACACGAAGCCGGCGTTTCGGGGGTCTGTAAACGATATTTTTTTTATTCAGCCTTCAGAGTGGGAAGATTCTGAAAGGCCGTTTTCGCGTTTCCATCTTTACGCTCTAACCGCATATTTTTTTTTACACGCATGCGTCATAGCGTCGCCCTCTAAACACGCATGCGCGACACATCACAACAACAATGGCGCCGTTGCTGCTAATGCTACTCACCCTGCTGTCGGGCTTACAACAGAATCTTCTTCTTCTGGAATATCTCCAGGAAGAACAGAGCAATACCGACGACATAGTTCAGCACCTGAATTTGACTTAACCACGAAAATGGGCCCGCAGGGCAAACATGTATAAATGTTAGTGCGCATGCCCAACATTTCGTCGCTTATTTTTGCTTTGGCACCACAGCGCCACTTACAGGCCTGGCATACATTTTGCAGCGTTTTCATGCATTCGTGTGGACGCTCACATTTATTTTACGTCTCCGTCTTTACGGCAAACGTTTTGGAAAATATCAGCGTTTCGTGTTCGTTTTGACTTCGTGTGGACGGGGCCTCAGATGACACCATTTCAACCAACCTCCAGCCCCTCCTTCACCATCGTAGCTAAAGCTTCATCAGAGTGTCATTTCGCCTGAACTCTTACTGCGTTCCCTGTCTCATCTCAACTGGTGTGGCAAAAGACCGCCAGGGGCGGAGCTAGATAGGGGGCCAGGGGTGGCCATGGCCACCCTTAGCATATGATTGGCCACCCCTGTGGCCACCCCTACCATTTATTTCCCTCTAATACAGATGGTGGCAAAATATTTAAATTTTTCATATACTAACAATTACTTGACAACAAAAACGCTGTGGTTAATTATGCATATCAATATACTAACATTAAAGATGATAAATACAGAATTCGTGCTCTTTTCAGAACTAGATTTTGGGTTTTATGGGGTAAAGAGACAATGATGTGTCTCTGCAAGTCATCTAGTATGGAAGAAAAACAGTCTCATTGAAATCTGCTTTTTTTTTAACACCGAATTTTAAACACTGAATTTTTTTAACACCGAATTTTAAACACTGAATTTTTTTTAGACATTGAATTCCTTACACTCAAATTTTATCTGGTAAAAATTCACCAGAAAAAAATTCACCTGCAAAAAAATTCGGCTGCAAAAAATTCTGCTGCAAAAATTCAGCAGCAAAAATTTTGCCGCAAATATGTTGACCTTTTGGTGAACTCAAGCCAAAGCAATCTACACTCGATAGAGTCAAGCAGCTTCTAGCCCATGAAATTAGCTCATTTTGTCATGTGACACAACGGCTGCGCCCAGCGCTGTTCTTGGCTGAATGAGGATTATTTTTTTTTTTGTTAAACAGATAGAACTCAGTCAGTTAGCTACTAACAGACAGCTATTACTGTTTTTCCTCTTATCAGACTGGGTGAAAAAACTGAGCCGATCACAGCTAGTAGCCCTACAGTGAGGAATTCAATGTCTAAAAAAATTCAGTGTTTAAAATTTGGTGTTAAAAAAATTCAGTGTTTAAAATTTGGTGTTAAAAAAAGGAAGATTCCAATTAGACTGTTTTTCTTCCATAATCTAGGAGTCTTCAGTGAAATCATAGATAAATAACAATTTTTATAAGACTTATTAAATTATCAATTGATGTAGATATTAGTATTTGTAAATATCAATTTTATGCAGAATAATTACTGATAAAAGTAGGTAAGTAATGAAAATTAAAAAGATGTTCACCCAAAACTCAAACCTGAAAGAATTTTATCCACTATACCTTTTATGTAGAAAGCACAAATATTTGAATATAATCATCTATTTGTTAGCAAACGCTATGGGAAAGTATAGTTTATCTTTATCTAGAAAATATGGATGTTTTGTTCGTTAATTTTCTTGTTGGAACAGTATAGCTTGACCGTTTTGGTTTTGGTGCCAATCTACTTTCGGCCACCCCTCAGTGTACATTGGTTATCGCCTGGCCACCCTTATTGAAATTTTCTAGCTACGCCTCTGAAGACTGCCATGTTGAGCCTGGTTCTGCCAGAGGTTTCTTCCCAACCGGGAGTTTTTCCTCTCCACTGTCGCTTCATGCTTGCTTATCATGGACAGGTTCTTTCAACCTGTGATATCTAACTGGACTTCCATCTTCCAGGTCCTTGAGTGAAGCTCTAGTATCAGCTCACGCAGTCCACTGGATCTAAACTCAGCATAGTGTCTCTCTAACCAGCAGTCTGTAGACTGACCAACTTCATCTAGTTTCAGGCCTGGGGGGGTAAACAGTCCTGTTCTTTGCTCCTGTTCATGCATATCTATCAAAATTAAGCTCTGTGTTTCCTACCGAGGTCTGAGCGTCGAAGACAAAGTAATTGTATCAATAAATTCCTCCTAATTGTCTTTTCTCTTCATGTGCTTTTTTCAGTTGGAAGTTTTTCTATTTCACGAATAACTTTGCAGATGGGTGTCATTTTATTTTAGTTTAAGTATCCCATGTTTCTTTATATTTTCATATGAGCTCTCTGAACTGGGTGGCTCTCATAATAATAGGAAGTGACTGCGTCTTTGCATGCTTAACGTTACTCAATAACTAAAAAGGTAAATATATTGCGTCTCCCTATGCAGACCGCGCCTTTGGCTGCGAGTTTTTGCAGCAGCTCTTTTCATGCTTCCAGTCCAGGTCACAAGTTTCTAAGATCGGCCCCTCTGCAACCTCACGCTCACATGGAAGGCGGTTCCTCTGCCCTGGAGTAAGAGGAGATACTCGGCTTAAAAAACTCACTTTTACAGTGTTTAAAGATCCTCCTGTAAGCTGCCACCTTCTGAGACCCGAAAGGTGGGATGACATCTCACATTCCTCACTCCAACGGCATGCAGAGCCTGCAGAAGGAGCACCTGTACAAGGTGCTGGTCATCGGAGACCTCGGAGTCGGGAAAACCTCCATCATCAGACGCTACGTTCATCAGACCTTCTCCAGTAACTACAGGGCAACGATCGGAGTGGATTTCGCTTTAAAGGTCTTGAACTGGGACTCGGAGACTGTGCGGCTTCAGCTGTGGGACATTGCAGGTGGGGGTATTTTGGAAACAAACTACGATATTTAACAAGAAAAAAGAAAAACAAAACACCACACTGGAAAAACTATCTAGAATAAGTAAAACTTCTTAAATTAAGTGTATTTACCCTTAATTTGATGAGACAGTTTGCCAATGGAATGAGTATTTTTACTCTTAAAACAAGATGATTAGATAATATGCACTTTAGATAAGACAATGCAATTTTGTTTTCTTATTTTAAGTGTAAATTGTCTTGTTCCATTGGCAAAATGTCTCTAAACGCGTCCAGTACGCTGTAAATATGAGTGTATGTCTGCCTTTTATGGTCTGACTGCAGGCTTTTTCATATTAAAACGTGTAAGAACAAGGGAAGCTATGACATAAATAAAAAAAAGTTTAGAAATGCCATCTCATTTCCTGCACTAAAGCTGATAGTTTAAATAGATAACCCTTATCTTTAAACTTTCAGTGATCACTGAAGTTATGAAACCCAACTTGAATGTGCACAGTCATGAGGGAGAAGTAGACCAGGACATTGTTTCTTTGTCATTTTTTTTTTAGGTATGCTGTTACCTCATGTGATCAGGTCCATGTGAGGGAGATTTAAAAGGCCAGTCACAGGAATGTCATTGCAGCCTAAATACAACCACAAAAACATCCTAGCTCAGTGACACTCACTCACACTAACCCACAAATGCACACGTGCACACATTGCATTGAGTCATTTAAGTCACATTACTAATGCATTGAAAAAGTGTTCACGTCTGCTGCTTTTGTAATGTTGCTCTGGTCACTAGGACAAACATTGATCTTTTTGAAACTGAATTAAAACTGAGTAATTCGTTCAATTCAGAGCCACTTCAATGATATATTTTATAGATACCGAAGGCATTTAGTTATGTGCGTAGAGTGAGAAGCTGGACTGGAGTGATGGGAAGATGGATGGATTTACAGGCCAGTTCTGGTGCTCAACTAATCCTTTTACAGGAACAGACCTTTTTGAATTTTGTAAGAAATTTCAAAATCATGCAGCCTTTTCCTTTAGTTTTTACAACTTTGAAAAATTAATGTTGGCCCAGCACACAAAGGTCATACAAAATACCATTCAGTTTTTGATTGTAATGTTACAAAATGGTGGGAAGTTTTAAATATATAAAACTATTTTAATGCATTGTATTGTAACACTCGGAACAGTATAGACACATGAGAAACATCTTCATTCATGGTATACATGTTTTATGGAATCAGTCTGGTAATCAGGTCTTGTGACATCATCATCCACTGACAGTATGACAAGTAATTTGTTTGTTAGTGTGTCTGTGACCGATGCAGACAAGGCTTCCTTATGAAGAATGCAATTGTTTTAGATGAAGGGGAGAGGGTTTTTATCCATTGATGAAGTTGTTTTTTTCTGTTCCTTAAAAAAATAAATAAAATAAAAATAAATTTTTCTTTATATGAAGAGTTCTCCAGTTACCTGCAAACTTGAAGCACATTTAGTCATCAGCTGGAGATTAATCACAATTTTAAATGATGCTATAGACTCTAAGGAAATGTCTTGTTTCATTGCACAAAGATCTTTAAAAATGGCAATAATTTAGAAAATCTGAATAACTAGACTTGTTATATACCATCTACAGACCAGTATCATTGTTTATTCTGAACAGGAACAAGTAGCTGCATTGACAGATTAATTACCTGATGGTAAACAGGAATGTGTTGTTTCATTGGAATGTGGAGACAGCTGACTGCAGCCCTTTTACCAGCTGCTTTAGATATAATGCTGGGAAAACAATGCAGAAAAGGTCTGATCACGGCAATGCCATGGAATCTTACAGCCATAATGAATGAGGCTCCCTTTGTCTGTGCATGTGCCCATCACAGGTCAAGAACGATTTGGGAACATGACGCGGGTGTACTACCGCGAAGCCATGGGGGCCTTCATCGTGTTCGACGTTACACGGCCAACCACCTTCGAAGCTGTTATTAAGTGGAAGGAGGACCTGGATTCAAAAGTTATGTTTGCTAATGGACAGAGGATTGCTACAGTGCTGCTGGCTAACAAGTGTGACCAGGGAAGGGAACTAAGCAATAATGGTGTCAAAATGGATCAGTTCTGCAAAGATCACGGCTTTGTTGGCTGGTTTGAGACCTCAGCAAAGGTAAGACTCCAAAATACGTTAGGTTTAATTGTTTCATATTTGTGTCTTGGCAATTGTTGTATCATAAGGTGGAAGTTGGAGTTTATAAAAATAGCAGGTCAGCTTACGCTTGGTGTACCTTGTAATTTGCAACTAACCATCTAATCACCACACTTTCCAGGCAAACCTGTAGTGTTGAGAAAACAATATTCATACCTGATAAACTTTTTGTTTTGTTAGAACCAAAGACATCAATATATGTTTTATGTGATTACTGGCCATTCATCTTTGTAAATTAAAAAGGCTTGCTGAGATTTTTATAACATTATAAAATACATTTTAGAAAATTATTTGAATTGTTTTATAGGATTGACCTCACTTTAAAAAGAGAAATATCATTACTGGTATTAAGAATTTTCTACCTAGAAAGTTAAGAACGGCAAGTTTAAAAAAAGATTTTAAGTTACTCTCAAAACTTTTTTTTAGACTAAGAAGTTTTTCAATCTCATTTCTATATTGCATTTATTTCAAATTTCCATTAACAAAACCATTTTATCCATCTTCTCACACTTATTCCATCCCTGTGGGGCCGATGCGTATCTCTGGCAATCTATGGGCGAGAGGCAGGGTACACCCTGGACAGGTCGCCAGTCTGTTGCAGGGCAACGCAGAGACACAAAGATATACAATCATATAAACACACACTCACACTCATGTTTTTGGACTGTTGGAGGAAACAGGAGTACCTGGAGAGAACCCACCCATACACAGGGAAAACATGCAAACTCCATGCAGAAAGACCCTGGATGGGGAATCAAACCCATAACCTTTTTACGGCAAGGTAGCAGTGCTACAATACTGTATGTGCCACCGTGCAGCCCAGTTTTTTTGTTGTTGTTTATTCAAATTTTCATTCATGAAATGCGCTCTTTGCTGGCAAAATTATTGGAACAAAGTTGACTCCATCTAGGTGCATGTTCACACTAATGAGTTTTGGAACCTATATATAAATGTTACATTCACAAAGAAGCAACATAATTTACAAGATTTTAACAATTTAAAGCACTCTGCTTGACAGGTTTTTACCTGCACTATAACCAAGCTGTCTGCCTCAGTAAAACGGGTGAAGTAGCCCATTTGTTTCACTAATGTCTGCACTAAAAGGCTCATTTCAAAGCAGCATAAGTCTAATTTGAATAAATACTGTACATAGTGCTGGATGATGCTCCATATATACTATTGTAGCTGTAATTCTTCCTATGGCTGCCACAGCATAAAACGCACGTAGATCAACCTTATTACTCCAAGCCATTGATTTAAATAAGTTTGAGAGCGGAGCAGTGGAGGTTGCGCCCTGTCTGTAAGGGCCAAAGCAGGGGGAAAAATTCAGGGCACTCCACTGCTTCAGCCATCATTCTGGTTGCAGAGCCAGTGGCTATACAGTGGTGCACAGGGGGGAGTGGTCATGATGCTGCAGCTGACAACCTGAGCACCCTCTCTGATAGAATAAAAAAATTATTATAATAACACTCATACCTTAAGACGGGTACCACGGAAAGCTTCACAGGTTTTAAAACAGACCTTTTCAATCGGAATATACTGTATGGTAAAACTGCAGCTTTTTTTTTGGTCAGCATTGGTCAGTAATTTTATCCATGATACATAGCTTTTTTCCCTTAATAAACATATCATAATTTTAGAATAGTTTACTTTTCTTGTAATGTCTTACTATTTTGTTCTATAAACCAATTTCTCAACCAATTTATGTAGTAGAGACATCTTCTATCTAGAGACAGAGCATAAAGATTTCTGTATTTGTAAACTTTTTCTGGCATCTATGTGCACATGTTTTCTGGCATCTATGTGCACATGTGAAAGAAAGAGTCGACTTAAAAAAATGACCATATACACTCACCGGCCACTTTATTAGGTACCCCATGCTAGTAACGGGTTGGACCCCCTTTTGCCTTCAGAACTGCTCAATTCTTCGTGGCATAGATTCAACAAGGTGCTGGAAGCATTCCTCAGGGAGTTTGGTCCATATTGACATGATGGCATCACACAGTTGCTGCAGATTTGTCGGCTGCACATCCATGATACGAATCTCCCGTTCCACCACATCCCAAAGATGCTCTATTGGATTGAGATCTGGTGACTGTGGAGGCCATTTGAGTACAGTGAACTCATTGTCATGTTCAAGAAACCAGTCTGAGATGATTCCAGCTTTATGACATGGCGCATTATCCTGCTGAAAGTAGCCATCAGAAGTTGGGTACATTGTGGTCATAAAGGGATGGACATGGTCAGCAACAATACTCAGGTAGGCTGTGGCGTTGCAACGATGCTCAATTGGTACCAAGGGGCCCAAAGAGTGCCAAGAAAATATTCCCCACACCATGACACCACCACCACCAGCCTGAACCGTTGATACAAGGCAGGATGGATCCATGCTTTCATGTTGTAGACGCCAAATTCTGACCCTACCATCCGAATGTCGCAGCAGAAATCGAGACTCATCAGACCAGGCAACGTTTTTCCAATCTTCTATTGTCCAATTTCGATGAGCTTGTGCAAATTGTAGCCTCAGTTTCCTGTTCTTAGCTGAAAGGAGTCGCACCCGGTGTGGTCTTCTGCTGCTGTAGCCCATCTGCCTCAAAGTTCGACGTACTGTGCGTTCAGAGATGCTCTTCTGCCCACCTTGGTTGTAACGGGTGGTTATTTGAGTCACTGTTGCCCTTCTATCAGCTCAAACCAGTCTGGCCATTCTCCTCTGATCTCTGGCATCAACAAGGCATTTCCGCCCACAGAACTGCCGCTCACTGGATGTTTTTTCTTTTTCGGACCATTCTCTGTAAACCCTAGAGATGGTTGTGCGTGAAAATCCCAGTAGATCAGCAGTTTCTGAAATACTCAGACCAGCCCTCCTGGCACCAACAATCATGCCACGTTCAAAGTCACTCAAATCACCTTTCTTCCCCATACTGATGCTCGGTTTGAACTGCAGGAGATTGTCTTGACCATGTCTACATGCCTAAATGCACTGAGTTGCCGCCATGTGATTGCCTGCTTAGAAATTAAGTGTTAACGAGCAGTTGGACAGGTGTACCTAATACAGTGGCCGGTGAGTGTAGTTCCCCAATTTAGTCTTAGATATCATTTTAATATATCAGTTTCTTTAAATGTGAGAAATTTACACTCTTAAGTAAAGACTTTCTGTCCTCAAAGTCCCTTCAGGCAGCAACAGACCTCCCTACAGAGCAAGCTGGAGTTTCAAATCCATTTGGAAACTGCCTTAATGAAGACGTTACAACTGTTTGATGTGCAGAAACTCTGTAATGTCCAAAGTTTTGGTTTTTAAAAATCATAAAATTATTTGATTTAAAAGAATTTACAGCCATGTCTAATAATTTAAACCAACTAAAGACAAATATTGGATTTTTATCTTTTAGTAAATCTGAAAATTTTGAATTTAAATAGTAAGGTGAATACTTTATAGGGCAATAGAATTAAGAGGAATTTAAAAATGGACATCGATCCTAATAATAATTTTGACGCTTATATTTTGTTAATGCAGTTTCAGTTATGCAGTATGTTCTTTGTGCAATGCTTTTAGCTTTATGTTCAGAAATCCAAAACCAATTCAATACTAACACATCTTTAAATGAAACCAGCGTTGTCTCCTTTCACTTTTGACACTGACGTGTTGAAGTGTGCTGCCTTTCTTTTGGCACTAAGACTCGACATTCTGAAAGTTCATGATGAGTATCTTTGTCCTAAAGAAATAAACGTTCACAAACAGATGTCACACCCATTTTTACAGCAGCATTTTAAATGTTTGTAATTTGTTCAAACCCATAGTGGTGTCCATGGGATATATGCTGTTAAAAAGAATCAGGGGTGTCACTACCTGATCCCTACCGGAAGCAGCATCTGTACATCACCTCATTTGCAAATGCGCAACCAGATATTCATCCAGGTTGCCATAAATAATGTAATTATTGTACTAAAAGTACTTATTTATATCCTTAAATCAATAAAGAATACAAATAAACATCTTTAAAAAACATTTTTATGACTTTCTGAGACAATTTGTTGCTTTTTAAATTTTCTCAGTTAAAGTGCTTGTCTTACATCATCATATGCTCACAGTAGCCCAGCAAAATGTGAATAAACCATGTTTATCTCCATTTAAGTTGTTTCTTTCTTTAGATTATGCACTGTATGCCACAAGGACAACAGGAAAGGAAAAAATAAAACTTAAAAAGACTAGATTTATGTTTAAATCCAAAGCTGAAAAGATTAGCTCCTAGAAGTAGCGTAAGATCCCATTTCCAGTATAGATGAGTGATAAAACAGAAAGGATTCATTCTTAACCTTTAACACATTATAGTTTAATACTCCTCTCATTTTTGTGGAGGGAAAGCTTAATTTAGATGTGTTTTACAAAATAAAAGCGAGGGCGACCCGGATGTATATCTGGTTGCACATGCGCAAATGAGCTGATGGTAGGGATCGTGCTACTGGTAAGGATCGGGTAGTCACAGCGGGGAGTTATTAAAAAATGGTAAGATGCTTTCAATATAACTTTATTTATAAAAGTTCTTAACAAAAAAAAAATGTCACTCATATTGATAATTAAGATCATTCATCTAAAATTAATTTAATTTCTCCCAAAAGCTTTTAGTCTGTGTAATGTGTCTTGTAGAAATATGGTTTTTTTGCAGAACAAGCCAATAACTGTCATGTATGTTGTTTTATTGAAGTGGAATTTCAAATCTCCTTCACAATGTTGAGCTACCAGTATCAAGGTAGTTGCCTCAGAGAAGGGTGCCACGTGTTTCTTATAGTTCCACAGGATCAAATTGGAGAAATAACAAACAAAACAGCGGTTGTGTTGTAGAAGTCGAGATAAATAGTTTGAGTTGAGTTGATGTTTAAGATCAAATACTAAAAAAAAGTAAAAGAACAAACCACTGGACTGTGTTTCCAAGTTCGAAGACATTTCGCGTCCCATCCAGGAAGCTTTTTCTATTCAAATGTTAGAAAGCCTTGTTTTTGCTTAGGCAAGATGCAAATTGAAATGTCCGTTTCAATTGGCATCTTGTCTAAGCAAAAACAAGGCTTTCTTGGGCCTTGTTTTTGCTTTTTTTTGTTGAGTTGCTGTATAAAGCAACTCAAAGCTATTTCTGACGTTTAAATTGAAAAAAGCTTCCTGGATGGGAAGCGAAATGTCTTCAAACTTGGAAACAAAGGGAAGTGGATTGTTTTTTAACCTTTTTGGAATGATTATGACCTGGATGACAGAATCATCACCAGCATAAGATCAAATAATTTGGTTATGTTATACATTTTTGTCAAAACTTGTCAAAACCTCATAATATTGTGATTTTATTTGGTGACATTGGATCCCCTCCATTATTGTTCAGTCAGTTTTTAACATATATCCAACTCTCTGTTTTAGGACAACCTCAAAATCAGTGAGGCTGCAAACTTCCTGGTCAAGCACATCATGGCGACAGAAAAAGACATTGTGAGGTCGGTGGTGCCAGACACCATCTCCCCTCACATGGACTCCAACAGGCAGATGAGTTGCTCTGGTTGCTTCAAATAGTGAAAGGAAGGAAGCAATGATGAATGGACATGTGAGAGCGGAGGCGTAACGGGACTAAGAAGATTGGGCAATCTGCCAAAGGAAATTCTATGTAGTTTTCAGAATGGAACAGTAAGAGGTCTTTGGTCTATGCAGTCAAACATTTATTTGGTACTTGTTTCGTGATGATCAAAGCTAACATGGACACTAAAGCTAACCCCTCCTGAATTATAGTCTTTAAGTGTTTCTGGTAACACAACTATCTATCTGTCTGCAAAACACAATAGAAAGCAAATGCAAGAGTAACATATTCTGACATATTTCCTTTAACTATTATCCTCTTCCTTCTCACAGCTGTTTACTTTGAACTGAAACGATAACTTTCTTACATTTCTAAAGAAAGTATGGCTGCTACGGCTAACTAGCGGTTATTGAGAAAATCGTTTAATCTGTTGATTATTATTTCGATTAATCGATTAATAATCAGTTAGCAAAGGTTCCTTAAAAAAAAATCTTTACAAAATTAAACAAAGTGAAACTTAAACTTTTCCACTTCAGGAGTTCTTCATAGAGCATAGTGACAGATGAAAAATACTTTTATCATCTTAAAGCTACAGTCTGTAATTTTCAGCGACATCTAACGTCCAGACTGCAGACCGCAGCAACATGAACATCTCCCCCCCACCGCTTCTCCCCCCCAACAGTACGGCGAGCGTTCTGGGACAAAATGTCTTCCACGACGTCCGCATTACCTACCTTCTCAAGTGATGAGGTTTGTTTACATAGATAATTTTAGAGATAGTATTTCATTAGTCTGTGTAGGGTATAGATTTCAGTACCGTCTCAGTTCATCTCTCTCAACTTGCCGTAGTTACTTTCGAGCGTAATGGGCGATCTCGCAATCGCTAGTTTGTTGGCTCTGCGCTGCCGTAGCGCAAAGATGTCTGCCTCCATGGCTGCGAGACCCGCTCCTATGTAATTATAAATAACGAATTCTGAGGCAACGCAAATATTAAGGTTAAGAGGCTGAGCTCGTAGATGAGGATAATTAACATAGTTATGTATAATATATTACATTTCTGACTGTATATCCCTGTAATTATTACACACAGTAGCTTTAAATGTAAAATGTTCATATATTTTTTTTTATAATGTTATTATGATTCCTGCTCTAGATGGGTTGCTCTGTCGGCTAAAAGCAGGTTTTAGAGTCTCTAAACTCCAGTTAGATTAATCTGATTGTTTCAGCCCTAAAGAGAACAAATAAAGCTTCTCAATTTTGTCTAAGCCATGATGTGCAGTAAAGTGAAAGCTCATATAGGGCCTAATCGTGCAAGCAAAGGTGATCTACTAACCAGGTGCATAACTTAAAGGAATAGTACACCCAAAACATGATTAGCCTTCATTTTCTACTCACCCCCATGCTGAACAACACTCTGGAGTACTTTTTTGATATCTCAAATGCATCTGGAGATCTGGGAGGCTTCTTGCTGTCTGCTGACATTCAAATAATGGAGGTCTATGGTGCCCGAGACAGAAAGGTCCATAAAAGTCCACAAAAAACGTGTCAATATTCCTCCATACTGCTCGTCCAATGTATTCCAAGTGTCCTGAGTGGGTAGCATCCAGAATTTACTCGAAATGAAGTCATTTAGAATGTTTTTAGAGCATAAACAGTAGTGTATAGGATTTCCTAAAAGCGCGAGCCTGCACGTTCCTGACGCTACGGAAGCCGGCAGACCAAACCAGATGAAAGTGCGCATTCAGCGTCTGCTCTGCCGATAATGCAAGTGTAGAAGAATAAATGTGCTGTTTACCTGTGCAAAGAAAGAAACAACGAAAGAAAAATGTCTAAAGACTTCAGTGTTGAGGAAGAGCATGAGTTCTTTGCCGAGCTGAATGCGCACTTTCGTCTGGTTTGGTCTGCCGCGGTTTCCGTAGCGTCGTGAACTTGCTGGCGCGCGCTTTCAGGAAATCCTATACACTACTGTTTATGCTCTAAAAACATTCTAAATGACTTTGTTTCGAGTAAATTCTGAATGCTACCCACTCAGGACACTTGGAATACATTGGACGAGCAGTATGGAGGAATATTAACATTTTTTGTGGACTTTTATGGACCTTTCTGTCTCGGGCACCGTAGACCTCCATTATTTGAATGTCAGCAGACAGCAAGAAGCCTCCCAGATCTCCAGATGCATTTGAGCTATCAAAAAAGTACTCCAGAGTGTTGTTCAGCATGGGGGTGAGTAGAAAATGAAGGCTAATCATGTTTTGGGTGTACTATTCCTTTAATTTGTAAGTGTGAATGTATAACTGACTGAATTTGGAGTGGATTGAAGAGGCAGTTTGTTAGTACATAACTTAGTAATGTACAGAATACATTTTCCTTCTTAAATACGCAGAACATATGCTGATCTCCAGAACATACAAACAAATTGCATCTGTATTTAGCTCATACTGTATGAAAGTTAGGGTCCAATTTCCACAGAAACAAATCTACAGTCTTTGTGGTGAGAAGAATGCATATGGGCCATAACAGACAGGAGAGAGAACATTCAATTAATGTGTTGTAATATATTTGGAACTTCAAAAATTCAAAAAGTACTGACATATCTATCCTACAATGCTATTTTTGAGCAGCAAAATACAAGTCTATCACACTGTTACTCCAAATTACAATACCATTATATCAGAATCACTCTGGAGCTTTATAAAACCTAGAAAAGGTGGTGCAGATTTTAATTGATTGCTGCATGTTACATTTGAAATGCAGGGAAAAACAAAAAACTCTGAGATTAGGGCAGCAGGACTGCAAACAATTTTATGAAATTAACCAAAAAAGCAATATAAATAAATCTACAGATTTAAATTCTATATTTCGTTTACAGACACTCTGCTCTCCCCTCCCTGTTTTGCACACATAAAATCTTCATTTAAAACAGGGTGGTTTACTATACCTACCATTCACTGTGCACAGCACCTTAGTAGATCACACACACAATAACCCTAATAAAAGCATGTGAAACTTTTTTGTTTCCCAAGCTAAGGTTATTAGCAGATCAAGGCCTTAGACGTTATGATGATTTTGCATTTTCTTTGTTAAGCAAACCTATGACTTCTTTGTTTAAAAGCTTTTAGATAAAATTACCATCAGTGATGGATGAAGTACTCAAAAGTAGTATTTGAGTGAAAATATTGATACTTATATTCAAATCTTGTTCAACTACAAGTAAAAGTTACTGAGTCAAACATCTACTCAAGTTAAAGTATTGAAGTATTCCCTTTTGAAAATACTTAAGTATTTAAAACGATATGGATTTAAAAGTACTTAAATATTCAAAAATGCAATTTGAATCTTTTCATATCAGTACATTTATGTGTAAGTTTCATTTTCAGAGCAACTTTAAAACAATTTTGTAGCTTTCAGAAACCACCTGATGTATAGATACATAAGAACCAGTCTGCTACAAATTTTACACCACCTGTAAAGAACTTGAAAAAATTAAGGGCAGCTATTTTGATTTGTATTTCTTATTTAAAAACAAAGCAAAAAAACAAAACAGGATTGTCTTGATTCTCCTCACAATTTCACAATGCAATAGATGTTTAAGCTTGAATCTATTACCACAAAGAAATCGCAACTCATCCTACTGAACAACTTGGCCACACGGCAACAACTAACACCCTAATTAAAAATATAGGCTAAAAATAATATCTTCCCTGAGTTTCTCACATTTGTGCAAATGTCTAAAACAGTGGTTACCAAAATTCAGTCCTAAGGGCTGCTATCTTGTAACAAGTAACCATCAGCTTCCTTGGAATGTAGTGGAGTAGAAATTACAATATTTGACTTGGAAATGTAGTGCAATGAAAGGCATAAGTTCCACCCAAACAATTACTCAAGTAAAGTATAAATACCCAACATAATTACTTAAGTACAGTAATTAAGTACATTTACTTTGTTACTTTCCACCTATTAGGGAGTACTATTCCTGTATTTATAAAAAGGCAAACAGAACTGTGGACCTCTTTGGATGATGCAAAAGTTGTGTGGAAATCTATACACTTTTTTATTATGATTTTAAAATATTTATATTCCTTTTGTAACTATTTTATGATGCATTTTAAGTTTGAAAATATATCCCCCAAACGACCGTATGAGGTGGAGTGTATTCTCAAATGTAAAGAGTAACACGGTTTTATTTATAGTAAGAATCTGGTAAGACTGTGGTTGAAAAGCCATAAAACAGTTGGAGGTTTGACTGACTTTTCAGACACAGTCGCTCCCATTTCCATCAGATGGAAGTGTGTGACAGGTTTACAAATCGCATGAAGTTTTATTGATCTCAATGTTATAAGCTGAGCACACTTCAGTTCGTCCACCAAAACCTCAGTATCCATGGTAACAAGTATTTTTATGGGGTTTGCTCTACTATCTATGTAGAGCTGTTTCTCGCTGTGCCATGCACACAGACACACACTAAAGAGCCCAAAAAGACTCTGCATGTCTTCTCTCCTACTCAGCTGCTTTGTTGTTGTTGCTGTTTCGCAATCTCTTTTTTTCACAGCTCTCGCTTTATGAATTTAAAGGTTATTTCGGCTTTTCAGAGTCTCGCTATTAATAGACACCTAAATGTTCTGCACAAACCCGGCATTCTGCTTTTACATGTTTTCCACCTGGTGAATTAGATGTGTCCCTTGGGCTGCAACATGTTACTGTGACCCAAAAAAAAAAAACACCCAAGGCAAACAGGGTCATCATTCAAAGTTATTGTATGGTAAAGAAAAAAATAGAATAAATTATTTTTTATTCATAAAAAAAGCAACACTGTAATATATATCAAAGCTTATAACTTGAGTACATAAACTAATTGGAATAGAAATGCTTTAATAAGAAATATTAATTTTGAAGTAAAGTCCCTACGTATATATATATGTTTTCTATAACATTATGGGGAAGTATCTTTGACTGTTCCTCTTTTACACTTTCTCTAGATTATCCAGAGTCCTGGACCCTCTTATGAATACTTTTTATTGCCAATACCTTTCAGAAGAAAGTTGATTTTGTGAGGGTTATTTTGTGTTGGTTTGAACATTTATGTTTTGAATATTTTTTTGACCAGATTTGATTTCCTGCCAGGCTTGAATTCCATATTCCATTATCTTTTCCAGTTTAAGAAATGGCTTTGTTTCACATCATATTCATACCCGTTGTTTAATTATGAGTTCCTTATTCACATTTTCTTGACCAGTAATCAAGTTAAACAGCAAGGTTTACATTTATAAAATGCTCCTAAATCTACATGTCATAATTTTTTTTATTAACATCGTTGGAAATTCCCATAACTATCAGAGATTAAGTAAAAACTGTTACTTCTTAAGGTGATTTTTTTGTTGATGTCATAGTTTTAATGTCCTTATTAGTAAAAAATGAAGCA